GGTTTCAACTCTTTCTTCAGTTGAATCATGAAGTTTTGGTAAGTATCTTCTTTGGCAATCTTCCTCATTCTTACAGACTCTTTGCCTGAAGCATTGCTGTACTTTGTTCTCTCCCAATGTGCCCACTTTAGAATAGCTTCCCCTTCTCCTAAACTTTTTTCATGCTTTCTGCTCCTGATTCTGAATTAGATTTTGCTCTGTCCCTGTATCTCCTCATTCTATCCTTAGCTTTAAGGTTGTACCTCATCCTCTGTTCATCCGTGAAATGTTGTCTCAAATCTCGGATACGTTTGTTTTCTATTTTACAAAGTTCGGCATTTTCCTTTTGTTTCTCTCACCATTTTTTACTTCTTTCAGCAGATGTCAGAGGCAATTTATTTTGTTTTGATGGTCTGGGTGGTCTTGGTCTTAAAAAAGACATTATAGGCCATATCATCATGATCAGATTGTTCCATCCTGAAAACTATAGCAAAATTCAATACAAATACATGTATGTAGATACGTAGATAAAGGACATGAACACTTGCTCGCATTCAAATTAGTGGGTTTATTTTTGTAAACAGATTTTCTATAAGCAGTAACAGTGACTTGGCCTTGAACTCTGGTTCCAGAAATATGAGCCTGATTCAAAGTATTCCCATTATACTCGTGTATAAAGTTTGATAAAATTTTGTTATGAAATGAAGTTGCTGGAGCCAACTTATATGTCACTGATTGGTTGAAAATTTCTGTAAATAGTGATAATGATATTGGTCCACGGAGCCCATTTTCCAACCCAACTGCCATATTAGTATACCTGACAGTATTCCAAGGCTGTTGAAGGATTGTGAAAACATTATGTATCAAAGTAATGGAGGACACCATCTATGTTGTCCAATGTTACAAATAAGATATAAATCCTCTAATGAAATAGAAGTTGATATTAAATGAGATTACTTTTTCCAATTTCATGTTTTGAAATTACTATATCACCAAGAAAGATAGCAAGCGTTTTATCTTTTCGTTGATATTCATGTTTTTGCTTTACAACTGTACACGTGTAACATAGGACACTTTGCAATTTATTTTTGGTGTCCATAATTATGAATAATACAATTCTTTATTTACATTTGTAATACGTAGCTCTGTAGGGAAAATATCACAAAAGTCTAGAATTATAACAGTAAATGAACTTCGATAAGAAATTTTCAACTGCATTGCAATCACGTCTTGTTATATCTATGTGGGTAAAATATGACACAGCATTATAGTGTAATAGCAAAACAAAATCAGACAATATATTGTTTTGCAAATGTTGAAAAATATTTTTTATCTAAACATCATGAATTGGTGTATGCATATTTCATATATCTCACTATGTTGATCAACTAGTACAGCCGGTTTGAATTCTGTTAACCCATGTGTACACTATGTCACACATGTAACAGACACCATTTTTAACTATTTTTTAGTGTCCTCGGATGGTATGAAACAACTTTTTTATTGGGGTAAAAATAGTTCTGTCTGAAGCCATTTATCAACTTAAACACCCAAATCAGTTATATATATTTTTTAAATTAGCAGTCTCATTTTGCTATTGTTTGTCCTACAATCATTCAAAGCCTTAACAACTCGAGGACTATTAATTCTAATGAAAGTGTCTTTCGTTACCAACAAAACACGTTTAACAAAAATAAATAAATAACAATGAAAATAATTGTATTCAAGTAATTAATGTGTAGACTTCAGTGTTCTATAAATAAAGAATGTACTCTTAATAACCACCTAATGATTTCCAGGAAGATTATAACTTAACTGTTACATTGGTAACAGAGGACATTTCCCCACAGGTGCTCGGGTTCTGGAATATAAGTGAAATACTATCGCACCCACTAGATATCTCACCCCTTATACTAATAAATCATAGTATAAGGGGGTGCGATATCTAGTGATTTAATAATTTATTACATACTTACTAATAAATACGGGTTTTTTTTGTATATGCGATACAATTCCTCTAACCAATATCAGCCCTCGCCATATCACACCCAAAACCCGTATCAGCCCCCGCCGTATCACACCCCAAAACCCGTATCAGCCCTCTTCGTATCAGCCCACAAAACCCGTATCACACCACTTTTGGAAATTTTTCGTTTTTCGATATTTCAAACGGAAAATAGATCATAAGATAGTAGTTTTTATTAGTCAGTATGTAATAAACAGAATAAAACACGTTTTTTCCATATCACACCCAGTATCAACCCTCGACCAATATCAGCCCTTGGGCCTTCTGCCATTGGGCTGTTTTGCAGTCTCGGGTTGATATTGTGTGTGATATGGAAAAAGGCATGTAATATTCTCTATATCGCACCCACTAGATATCGCACCACCTTTATACTAATTATTATCATATGATTTATTTGTATCAGGGGGTGTGATATCTAGTGGATGCGATAATATATTCCAGAACCCGAGCACCTGTGATTTATTAATACATGTATAGAGTGAGGGGACCTGATTTCGTACACTTTTGAAACAGATTTACATTTTTTTTTCCAAAAACATCTCCAAGAAGATCGGATCTACTTTGACCTAAAAGATGTGTGCAATCTGCGCTATATTTGGTAATGTGACGTCATATGCCCAGAAATTTACAGTGCAGGGGATCTTTCTTTTACCATCATTTACTTCTACGTTACGCGGCAGTTGGGGACGTGATTTCGTACACTCTATATGTTCTATTCTTAGTAAATAAAGCGAATATAAGTATATGTCGAATGAATTCAATATATTTGATTCAGATTTGCCGATTTTCAAAGACCAGAGATGTTTTTTGAACAAATTATGATTTTTTTATAAAAAATGTGTCCTTTGTTGGTGGTGACATCGATAAATATTTCGTGTACGAAATCACGTCCTGTACGAAATCACGTACCCTTACTCTAAGGGGGTGCGATATCTAATGGGTGTGATAATAAATATATCACATATATTCCATAACCCGAGCACCTGTGTGTCAAATAATTATATTAATAAATAATATGATATTTAAATATATATACGGGTACACTTCTACTAATAAAGCATTGCTATAAGATGTATAATATATGTAGTAGGACAAGGAATAATGATAAAGATGGTGCCGTCGCTGGGGCTCGAACCGTATACTAAAAACAGACTCCCTCACCCATCCATTTTTTCCTCTACAAATATATATATAGCAAACTACTTCCCTGTGTGCAGGTTGATTTCACTGATAGAGCTTCCTACATCGCCGTCATTGTGCTTATCTCTATGTACAGTTTTATTAATATACGTTATTACATTTTCAACAGACTTGATTTATGTTACAATTCAATTCTCAATTTATTTGCTTCCAACAAAACTATTATTTACATGATTTAATCCTAATAAATGTGTCTGTAAAAATTATCATCTACGCTTGTAAATATAATCACTCTAGGAATCCCCTTCGTTAGAAAATACAAAAATATTTTCATTCCTAGCGTATAGGCAAAGCTTCGTGGTTTTATCCAGACTTCTCCAATGATGATCACTACGGAACTCAAATACCCAATTGTAGAATATTTCATTTCAAACCGGCAGTAAGATAATGACATGAATTATCAAATGAAGCATTATATACATGTAAAAGCGCCATTACTATCCCCCACCCCCAACACAAAAAAAGTTCTTCAAATGAGTCATCTCCTTTCACCTGATCATGTGATAGTCACGTGTTCCTGTTTTTTAATCATGCTCCACCATGTGAGCGACAAGCTGGCCGATTTCCGGGAATTCGCTGCTGCATAGGTTACACTGGAAAGGCGCGACTGTGCCACTCGGTCGTTCTGACCCAAGGAAACGTCGGACTGACCCGTTTCAGCAGATGCCTGCTGGCCTTGCTCCCGACGCTGAACAGACGATATTACTGCCGCTATAGCATCAGCTGTTCGCGAGTACTGTGTGTGATCATTGTAGATTCCATGTAGATAGGTTGTAGCTTCTGCTCTGCATATTCGCTGATGTTGCCATGACTAGCTAAGTGTCGATTAAACGGCCTTCTTCTGACGAAACGACTTTTTACATTCCGGACATCGGTAGATCGGTTTCGAAACTTGATCGTGTCGTTTCAAATGTTTCTTCAAATTATGTTGCTGATTAAAACTTTTGTTACATATTTTGCATATATGTGGCCTAACTGTTGAGTGCGTTTTCACGTGCATAGCAAGGTCGTCCGTGCGACGGAAAGCTTTGTTACAAACGTTACATTTGTGGGGCCTCTCCCCGGAGTGGATCCGTTGGTGGCGCTTGAAGTTCGAGTAGGAGGTGGAACTCGTGCACATGTCTCACACTGAAATCTGCCGGCTTTGCTGTTGTCAGTCTCGCGTATGCGTTTGATATGTGTGAAAATGTAGTACCTACAGGCGAACGACTTCCCACACACGTGGCACACATTGTTTGATCGACCTTCGTGAATTTCCTTATGTCGATTCAAGTTGCTTAAAGAGAAGTAAAAGGAGCGACATACATAACAAACATAGTTCTTAATACCAGCGTGGACGCGTTTGTGGAGCAATAGGTCACAACGCCGACTAAATCGTTTTGAGCATTCTGGACACTGCTGGTCTTTTGCAGAGGGCTTCCTGTCTGCTTTCCTCCTATCTTCAGATTTACCAATAGTAAGAGTTACTTTACTGAAGCACGTTTTCCCGGAATTCTCGTTCATATGACGCTTGAGGTTCCCGCCTTTAGCGAACACTTTGTCACAGAATCCACATTTAAAGCGAACAATAGGCTCAGGTTTAGGTATTATATCAGTACCTGTCGTCTTTACCTCTTCGTCGGCTATGTTACAGGCCACTTCACTCGATTCGTAGTAGTGTTATCAGTGTTTGTTGTATGTCGTTACATGTCGATCGGCTTTCAATGACATGTTTTACATCACCAGAAGTACCGTTCTCGTCTTCGTCGTTATCTGTTAGACTGCTGGCGGTCATTTCGGACACGTGGAACTCAAACTAGTGTTTCTCAAGCCAGTATTTGGAGTCCTTGAATTTGCCACACAGCTTGCATGGGAACTGTTGGCCGTGCTCATGACCACAGTGGTCGTGGTACTGTAGTTTGCTGACAAAAGATTTTTCGCATGTATCGCATGGGGTGTCTGTATTCACGTCGTGACTCCGTGTGTGTTTGGCGAGTTTATCTGGTGTGGAGAAACCAATCCCACACTCTGTACAGACACACTTGCTCTGTTTGTAGTGTGTTCTCATATGCACCTGGAGATCGTCAGCTCTGTAGAAACACATTGCACACACATTGCAACAGAACTCCCGGCTATCAGAATGTTTTTTTCATATGCCGACGGAAGTTTGATGGATTACTTTCTTTTCAATCCACATATGTGACAACTGTGGGTCTCCTGTTCCTCGTGTACTTTAATGTGATCTTTTAGGTAGCGACGGCGCTTAACTATTTTATTGCAGATCTTGCACTGATTGGTACCTTCACCTGCATGTTCTAACATATGGCTGTTAAAAGATTTTTTGTCTGCACAGACGTTCCCGTTACCTCGAAATACCAGTTCATTCTCTTCTTTTACCGATTTTTCATACGTCATTTCTTTCGCAGTTGGTCGCGAAGGGCGCGAGCTGCGTCTGGTAGGCATCAACGTCTACGACTTCCTTCTTAATTACCACACTCCTTCCCTGTTTAGAGCCAGAAGACATGCTGAAGTCAAGGTGCACATGACGCAATACGTCATGATCAGTACACACGCTTCCATTGCCTTTTGCTTAAGTCGCACTGTCGTCCATATCTATGTTATCACCCTATTGTCAGGAATGCATTCCTTCTCGTGCTCTTCTAAATCACTTTCTGTGACGAATTCTTTCAAACAATGATCGCAGTTTAGTTCTTCACCTTCGGCATGGGACGACAGGCGACGTTTAAGACCTGCCTCTTCTTCCTCGAGAACCTCTCCGCACACATAATACACCTTGAGCAGACCAGTATATGTAAAACAATGCTCGTGGAATTGAGATAAGTTAAATTGTATTTTGAGATCAAACTCTTTGCTAATCACATTGCAGGTAGGGTTTTTTTCCAAACTTGTGATATATTCCCAAACCTGTACATGTGAGAACACTGATGATGTTTCCCAATTTTTGCCAAATGCCAATGATATTTTCACAATTCCTGCTCATGGACCCTTTCCCAAAATATCTGGCAAATACTCTGTACACATACACATAAAGTAAGATAGCTCTAACATAGCAAGACATATCGTATGGAGATGTTGTTTACTTTGATATTTTTTCCTAACTTAGTAAAAGATAATTCAGACAAACCAGATAACACAAAATGTAGGCCACACATGCAATCCATGGTCATATTTAGACCTACTGTATTAAGTCACCAACAGGAAGTTAAATCATTATACCACACTGCTTTTAAACAATTCTATTTCTATTTTACATATAACAATTGTAAAGATTGAGTACTGAGCATATATCACCTAGTCCTCATAGACGGTATTATTAAGATTTATTAACAAACAAGAGACATTACCAGATCGCAGATGTTTTAGTTGCACAGCGAACAATGTCCAAATATGGACAAAAACTCCACGTGGTGATAAGGGCATGAAACGTCCTTTATTTCAGATAGAGGAATCTATACAAATGTCAACAACGTCAAAAAGGCCGTCGTGAAAAACTATATCTTCAGATAATGAATGGAATTTAGCAAGCAGTCTTTTTGGCCTATTTTTTTCAAAAACGAATGCACCTATGAAAACACATTTAAACTGGTTCAATTCAAGAAGGCTGCCAGCATAATCTTTAAAATATATAGAACTGTAAAGCCGGAGAACAGTGTTTCTTGTTATACATGTAAGTGATTGAAACTATGCAAAGGTACATACATGTACTCTGGCGTATTAAATTTGTACAATCAAATTAACTGACAAAGATTAATAAATATTCAAACATGATTCGTTTGCAATGCGTGTTTTGATTGGATACGGACCATGTTCTAATCTGCGATAGAATCATGATCAATCGTGTTAAGCTCCTCCGATCGCACCTAAGCCACGCTCCGTTTCTAATCAAAGCAATATGGCGTCAATCTCGCCTCTTAGCGAAATCCCGCTGATAAGGCTAGTAGGCAACAGAACAGAAACGACCGATGAAATGTATTTGAATTAAAAAGTACACATTCCTTGTTCTTACCTCCATTTATTACTGAAACGTTCGTTCCATCCGTGTGAAGGCATCTATTTAGATCCGAAATCAATTGAAACATTTCACATGTGTCGTATGCATTTACACAAAACTCTTCCCAAATCTATACAAATAATCACCGATTTTGTCAATAAGCACAGACTGGTATGCATACTGACATGGAAATATAAGAACTTGGTCAATATTAATCCAAATGTGTCGTATAAACTTTGGTAACAGAACGTTCACGAACGTACAGATCGAGCGCTCGCCAGTATGGGCGGGGCCAAATGACCGACTTTTAAAAGCTTCTTTCCGATTGGTCAGTCCGCTGCAGAATGACACGTCGCCAGTTCAGGTCACAAAGTATTTTACTACGTACTTTTGTACAAGGAAATACAATGTTTCTAAACATATAAGCGTAGTATATTTGTTGAGGTGTGTTAGAATGGGGATCGGTCGAGAGTTTAAACCAAATTTCATGTTCTAATCGCCAGTATAGACACGAAAAACAACGTATTATCCCCTAATAGCTAATTAGAATATCTACCATCTCAAAAATTCATCTTTCATTTTATATTAAATTCTTGTGTAAATAGCCAATACCAATAAAAACATTTCCCTCACATATACAAATCCTACTTGTGTAATTTAAGAAAGCATAAAAAAAACCCTGCTATGAGCATTAGAATTACCACAAGCGATTCAAATTCAATCTTAAATAGTCTAGTCTTCCGAGGGAAATAGTATGACGTCATGATCTATGACGTCAGTTACATATGTATTGCGATTATCAATGTCCGCTTGTCTCAGACTGGGGGAGGGGGAGGGGGAAGGGGAAGGGGGTTGGATAGGAGTAATATGAGTAGTAAGAGCGATAGGACAACAATAGGAGTCAAGGACACCGATGAGTGTAATGTATACCATGTATTCCGTTATTACCATGGTATAGCCGTCCATGTCTCTTTAATCCCTTACTGAAAAGTAGAGATAACAAATGATCATTGATGGATTTCAGTAGTAGTGAGAGACCGGGATAAAGTATAGTATCTGTTACGAGCAATGCCAATATCGTAAGGTGCCCTCATTAAACGGCAGGCCTCAGACCACAATTAATTCTACTATATGCTATACCAAAGGGAAAAAGAGATTAAAATATTTTAAAACTTTGCACAGGGTCTGGTTCCTATTTCATATTGTAGATCTATTCAAACTGAAAGTACAGAGAGCTGGAAAGTACCTCATGACCTGCATTTAAGAAAAAAAATGTATTGGCATGACACTACCCTGCATGTATAGTGGAAAATACCAAACATCACAATATATCACTGCGCAAGCCTCACCACTCATTGTGTCCTGCTGCCAATACAAACTTGGAAACTGTGTCAAACAAAATTTAATCACTAGAACAGATATTGCTGAACAATTCTATGTAAAAAAAACTGTACATATCTGTCATAGATCAGACAGGACAAATTATTTCTTAACCCACCTGAAATGTCCTTATGCACTATATTCGTGTACAACGACCCGGAAGTGTTATTGTGGTCTGAGGCCAGTATGTGCATGCAACACACGTGACACCACGCCGGGGCGCGCCTATATAGAGAACCAACAGAGGTCTTGAAATGTCATTTACCTGCTCAGCATCTAGGGTATACCGCTGTTTCCATACCTCAGGCCAACGTCGTACCACTTGCGTGAGTGCTGGAGTTGTTCACTTAAGGTAGCACAGCACATGAGCACACCCAGGTTTACGTTTACAAATAGTCAGTGACTCCAGGTAAAGACATCACCTCAAGTACAAACCCCGAATCAGTCTGACATGGAGTCGGATGCATACAGTTTCCAGACTGGCGTGAAACACACTTTTACGACAGTAGACTATGTTTTATTCGGATCTATCCTATGTGTGTCAGCATCCATTGGCCTGTTCTATGCCATCAAGGATCGCAACCGCCAGACCACGCGGGAGTTTCTGATGGCGGGGGGAGACATGAACCCCTTGCCAGTGTCCCTTTCGCTTTTGGCCAGCTTTATGTCCGCTATTACTCTCCTGGGTGATCCTGCCGAAATGTACATCTACACCACCATGTACTTTTGGATCGGACTCGCCTACCTGTTTGTAGCCTTTGGAGCTGCGCATGTTTTCATTCCCATCTTCTACAGGCTTCGAGTTACAAGCGCATACGAGGTAGGTGTTAGGACTGCCAATGTCACCGGCGCTTTTCGAGGTATGTACAGCGTTAGTCTGTAGAACGCTTAAAAGTGATATACCGTATGAGTATATAACTATTATAAACAGCTATATCAGAATGAGGGTACGTAATGACATTTATTTCGATCAATTTTACAATAGAGAAAATAGTTTTAATTTGGGAGGAATAGCCAGGAGTAATAAAGTAACTGTCTTGCATGTCATAAATATAGAAATTATCATTTATATTTAATTATATATATATAAAAGGACTTTAAATGACCAAACAGATGTATGCATTTTGATTTTTCCTTAGTTAAATTAAATCCATAGGCAGTTCCTATTTCTAAATATAAAACAACTGGAATTTCACTGATGACGATGTCAATGATTTGAAAAATTTAACGCCAGTCTTTCTGTTTAAACATTCCATTGACTTGTCATCCAATGATTTACGTTTTGACACATACCCCAACACAATCCGAGTTACGTGTGCCTACCGCGAAAGTGCCTAACTAGATCTGCATGTAGGCGTTTTGTAATATGGTAGGACTGGGAAGTGTTCAAGACATGTCGAGCTCCGCTTCACAACATCCACTCGTCGCAGCACATGCTAGGTCTTTATACATGTACCCAACGAAAGTATGATAGACGAACGTTACACACCAATTCCTCAGATACGGGTAAGGGATATACTGCAGAAAGATCCTACAAGACGTTGTTAATGTTTTTGGGCGCTGGAGAAACAAAAACATTATTGGACCAGCCACATGTTATAATTATGGTACTCGATTGGTTAAGCTCATGTTTGGGAGGAAGAAAAGACTTATGGTAAACAAAGGTTTGTGTTTTGGCCAGGAATATGATCAGAATATTTCGATATTAAGGTCACAGCAGAAGGATTGCAACCTCGGTTTGCCTCGTCCTTAGCATGCATTGCCAATGATTGACAAAAGGTACTATATGAGAACGGGCGCAGTACTGCAGTGATATCGGTTCTCCTGGGAGGTTGATAAAGTTAATCCTTCTGATAACGACCAGTCCTGTAGAGGAGACGATCTTTTCGCATAGGGAGAGCACAGGAAGTCGGAAGTTGAGTGGACTGCGGGATGTCAAAAACGGAATACCAGACAACTGCCTAACAAAACGTTTACTAATAGGAGTTCTCGGATGGTATTACAAGACAATTACAAAATATTAAGGTCTTGTCTCCTGTCTGGCAATTCACTGACCTATAACCAGTGGTTATCGGTATATTTCTCATCAAACGAGCCCAATGAACTGGTGTATGATACACGCATAACATGTTTGAAACACAAAGTAATCATTTGGGAAGCGATGTGATATAACAGATCAAACATAGTCGTAAACACTTAATAGATATTTAGGTTGTAACGATACCATTTACAACACTTAAATGTCCTACCAAATTTTAGGTTATGCATCCACGATCATCAACTGTTTGAGTTGTGTGAGTCACATTCCCTCAACACCTCAACTTGTATGGGTCACAACCCATCACTAATGTTGTTTAATGTTTCTCTAGATATAGAGTCACTAACCAGGAGTAACGTTCTATTCCCTCCCTCTGCTATGCCCCCAGTTATCATTTATCATTCCTCCACATAACCTTGGGTTACTTGAGACACTATCCACCGGTAGTTTTGTTACCCACACACAGGTTGTATGAACAATTACACTTTAATAATGGTATATACTAATCCTCTACATTTTATTAGAGTCACTATCCACTGGTAACGCTCTAATCTCTCTCCACAGTATCTGGAACTACGATTCAGCAAGGGAGTAAGGACAGCAGGCTCCATGACATTCTCGGTACAGATGGTAAGTCCATAGATTCTGCAGGGGCTACACTGTACTGGTCTTCGTACTGGTATAAAGTACAATTGGAACACAACAGCTTATAGGTCGATCGAAACACATCCTCTATGTTTGGTCTCTTTGCCTTTGTTTTAATCCGTAAGAACGATAAGTGTGTCCCCTCGTATTTTTTCAATTCCATCCTAAGTATGTCGGACGGACGGTGTGTTTGTCCTGTCCTTACATTGACATTTACATTGCACCTGTGCAATTCGATAATTTAGGCAGTGTTTTATGTAAGTAAGTAATAATGTCCTCTCTGTACGGAAGAAACATGTATCCGTTTGTACTTTATATCATAAAAGTATGACATCAACGATTATTTCCTTTGTATATTTACAAATGAAGTTAGTTCAGTAATAGAATTTGATATTGTATGGGTGGAAGTGTTGATATCTGATCTTGTTTGGTTTTCATTGTACATTAATAGAAAAAGTAAAAACGCCGACGCAGAAAGTCAAATCCATCAACATTTGTATTACACCGTTAAGTTCATTAAAAATAATCAAAGGTACTTCAGATCAAAGGAATGAATAAATGTCTAGGCGTTTCCAATTATTTATTGAACATTTAATGGAACTTGACTGTATCGATCGGCGACAGGTAGCTCTATTTGGAGGTCCCTAGTTCGAATCGCGGTCTAACCGACTGTTGCATGTTTCCTTTCCTGTTAAACATGTAAGGCTAGCTCATTAAAAATACTTAATGAGTATTGCATATACATGTAAGGCTAGCTCATTAAAAGTACTTAATGAGTATTGCATAAACATGTAAGGCTAGCTCATTAAAAGTACTTAATGAGTATTGCATATACATGTAAGACTAGCTCGGTTATAATATTTTATGGATATTGCCTGTAACGCTAAATCATTTGCGGTATTTCATGAACTTTCGATGTAATGTTAGCTCGTTTATAGCATTTTCATGTAAAATACATGCAGATGTAATATTTACATAAAATGTACGGGAACATCTCCAATAACAAGGTATCTATTTGTTACCAGCTGCTGTACATGGCCCTCGTGCTGTACGCTCCATCTCTAGCACTCAATGCCGGTACGTAGGGTTTTTGTTCTCATGTTTTTCTGTCTAATATGCTCTCAATTGTTATAAATCCATAATTCTAGAATAAAACAAGTGAAGCCATATCTGACTTATATGTCCATTATAATTATATACTCTCCGGAAGTGTACTGAAAGAAATAATATAGAAAAAGAGGATACATTTCAAGGAAGAAACTTTTATTTTACTTATCTCCTTGAACAACTGTCTTGTTATAAACTCGCGATTGATAAAATTTTAAATATCCTTGTGTCGTTTTGATACTAAGTATAGCCGTGTACAATGTAGAATATTTGCTTGCATACCATATAAGTGAATATACTTAACATTTATAAAAATAACATCACATTGTATAGGAATAATATTCTAGTCCCAGTTATTGTTGGCGTCTCCAAACATTTACAGTGACTGGATTTACTTTATGGGGCTCTGTGATAGCTATTGGTGCTGTCTGTACCCTCTACACCTGTCTGGTATGTATTGTCTAACAGTCAACTAAATTTGCCTTTTATGTTCATAGAACACTCTACACAGAGTACAGTATAATACTATATGGTATAATGTTTCACATTCTACTACATGTCTCTGGTATATATTAGCACCCAAGACTCATTGATGTCTCCTACACCCTCGTCCTCACAAATTGTTGTTTTCATTTTTTTTCCATTATGTAAGATCGTTTTTTAGTTTACGATTTTCATTATGAGAATTAGTAGAATTAAAATGCTGACAATCCTATAAAATCCTCAAAAGTACGGTTTTGTATCCCATGATAATTATTTATCATAATTATATACAGTAAATAGTGAGTGTTTTTCTTTGTTTCTTCACCCTTATCTGTCTTCTCACAAATACTTCTATATTTCGTTCTTTAAATTTTCCTTTTACTTAACTTTCTATTTGACTTTATAACATGAAACACAGCAAAAAAGGAGATTTTTAGTAGTCTTAAAATATTTGAATACAAAGTGTTACATGTACATGCACGTCTTCGTGTAAAATTGCTCTGCTAAATTATATAAACACTGTCTGGGTTTATTATACGTTGTTTAATTAAAAATAAATCAATACTAAAAATGAAATGAATTGTCTCTGGCGGGCTTGAAAAATTTAACCTATTATGTCCTACTTTATTGACAAGGTATGACAGCTTCAAAACCAGAAGTGAAGTGTTAATTGAGATTCGACTTGGGTAACATATTTACCGTAACTGAGAATCCCTGAATATCCATGTTAATATTCATTTTGTCGCGGGACTATATTTCTTAAATAAATAAAAGGATCAAAGTGATCCAGTTAGCTGGTCGACGACATACCAACTAGGGAAATGATGACGGAGTTTTGGTAACTAATTAAAAATAGGTAGATTATGCTGTCATTTGCCGAGCAACCAGATCGCCCACTGCAGTATAGCTCATTTTGAATGCCCATTTCTGTCTAAAGTTGCCAAGTTTTATGTATGTGTGTATCAAATACATCATACTTAATTAAGTATGGTTTAATGTAAAGCTGTCGTATCGTCAGCTAGTTTGATCACTTTAAGCCCTGTTTTGTCACTGACATTATGTCACAAAAAAGACTAGTTGCATCGCTATTTGACGTTTTTATACACTCCTGATTCAAGCACCAAAATTCAGACACCTTGCAGAATAATTCTGTGCGTTGGTTCCCGGGCTGAGTTATCTAGTCTTCGAGAAAATTGAGATAACGTCAAAAACTTACAAAACGGAGGTATTGCAAACTTCTTGTGAGGATTTCTTAACGCAGTTTTAAATTCTACCTTTTTATCAGTATAATAATTTCATATTATGAATCGCTCTCCATTACATATGTCATATGACCGTATGTACCCAATAATTGTAAATATTACCCAATAATTGTATATTATGGATTATAACACTTATTGTTATTTGTTGATATGGACAGGGCGGTATGAAGGCGGTCTTGTGGACGGACACTTTCCAGGTAACCATGATGCTTACTGGACTCATTGCCATTCTAATCAAAGGCAGCATAGAAAGTGGAGGCATTGGGGAGGCATGGCAACGGGCAGTGGACGGAGAGAGAGTTTTGTTTAACGAGTACGAAATAATATTATATCTGTAGATGTTCTAAAAGTACGGTGCTCATTTTTGCATTTTAATATGATAAGATGTATATCTATAGACATTTGACGAGAAAAGTAAGCATTTATCACTACGTTTCTTCATGTTCTGGTTATAGCTTCGATCCAAATCCTGCCAAACGTCACAGCGTGTGGTCTCTAGTGATTGGTGGAACATTTACATGGGTCGCCATATACGGCGTTAACCAGGCTATGGTGCAACGTTGCTGTACTTGCTCTTCACTGAAGCAAGCTCGGCTGTGAGTACGTTCATGTTAGACTATTTAGATCTTGTGATTTAGTCTGATCTTCGTAGCAATCTGGATTAAAAAATTCAAGTGTCACAAAGCTAAAGCAGGCATTTCAATGAATGACTCTGTATGGGAATTCTTGGGCTGAGTGACTGCAAGAATACCAAAATGACAAAACGGAGGTTTTTCAACCTTCCTAGTGAGACTTTCTGACACTGACAAGGGAACCACTAACAATGGGCCACGCAATAGCGTCCCTCTGTCAATTAGCATGTACATTTATTGTTAATTACATTAAACGTCTATATAGATTGATGTTCTTACATTTGAGGAGATATTATTAAGACATTTATATATAAATAACATGAATTACACTAATGATTAATGAATTATATCGTTACGTTACTGGGAATGTTATATGAAATAGTATCATCCCATTACAGGGCTATATGGTTGAACTTCCCGGGACTCTGTCTGATCCTGTACCTGTGCTGTTTTATCGGTATGGTGATGTACGGGTTCTATAGAAACTGCGATCCCCTCAAATTTGGTCTCGTTCAGTCCTCAGACCAGGTAAGCTTCAAAAGTCCATATTTAATCCCGAATTTTATAACCATGATATTGGTAAGTCTGTTGTGGTCACGGTTTGACATGATAATATTTGATTGTTTTATTGTACCGTGTACACTGTTATTGTCATCAGTGCTTTCAAAGTACATGTAAAGTATAAAGACCACAGGGTTAGAAATTAACAGTTAATTACCCCTTTACTGCCTCTACCATCGTACACGTTCCTGTTGAAGCTCTTGGAGATTTTTAAGTATTTCTGTATTTTCACTTACTCTTGTCCATGCCTGAAAATTACCTCCAACATGTGTATGATCCGCTGTTTTTACTTGCTTTTCAAACACTCTGACAAAATATTTGTTTAAAAAGTATATAATGAACACGAGACTCTTCGACAAATCTTTTGTCAGTTGCTTCCCTTGTTTGTGATGGATGTGCTTGGAACCGCACGTGGATTCCCGGGACTTTTTGTCGCCTGTCTCTTCAGCGGAGCTCTCAGGTAAACCTTATAATGGTCACATGTCTCAGGTAAACCTTATAATGGTCGAATATCTCAGGTAAACCTTATACTGGTAACATATCTCAGGTAAACCTTATACTTATAACATATCTCAGGTAAACCTTATAATGGTCACATATCTCAGGTAAACATTATACTGATCACATGTATCAAGTAAACCTTATAGTGGTCACATATCTCAGGTAAACCTTATGGTGGTCACATAACTCAGGTAAACCTTATAGTGGTCACATATCTCAGGTAAACCTTATAATGGTCACATGTCCCAGGTAAACCTTATAATGGTCACATATCTCAGGTAAACCTTATAGTGGTCACATATCTCAGGTAAACCTTATAATGGTCACATATCTCATGTATAAATCTGGAATATAAATGGCAAATTTAAAGGCTTAGTGTATGAGACAAGAAGACTAGTTGAACCTTTGATGAACATCAAAACAAAAATCGCTATAGCGTAACGGTAAAATTGACCCGCTTTGAAGTTGGGTTTAGCTCTTCTGTGATCTTAAAGGACAGGTATAAACCTAAAGATTGGTCAGGGGTTTTTTCTTGAGACAAATAAAATAGCTAGCCTTCAATTTCGCTATGACAGATTCCAGGGATGCATGGAGTGTAAGTGTATCGAGGATGGGTATTCTAAAACAATAAACGTTACGTTTCGGTACATTGTATATGTTTTAGAACAGTATGTGGGTTGCTTCAATGCACTATATGTATCATTTCAGTGTAATAGTAGTGTATGTCGTTTCAGTACAATATGTGTGTCGTTTTAGTACAATTTATGAACTAAATTGAACTGTTTCAGTACAATTCATGTTTCGAACAAGTATGGGAATTTCAGTTCATTATGTGTCTTTTCAGTACAATATCATCCGGGCTAAACTCCCTGTCTGCCGTGGTATTACAAGATATCATCAAGTCCTACTTTTTGCCAGACATCTCCGAGCAGCGTGCGACACTAGTTTCAAAAATCCTAGGTATTTATTATTATTATTGTTCTTACATATAATTGTATTTTCGTTCGTTCTTTTCCCGTGTTGGAACTTATAATGTAACACTTTTATATGTTGTCCCCCACTAAGGTTCATCAGCTGATCCTTATGAGCCCTTGTATATTAACTAGTACTGTAAAATATACACTAGCCTACGTATGATACATTTTGGCACCACACAACGAGCAAGATTTTGGCGTCCAAACTAGAATTGTGCAATGTAGAATGGGCTAGGGGAACCGTAAAACGTCCACCCCTCGCCTGTTATAACATGTCATCATTATAAAATATATCCGCTTTAGCAAGAAATGTTAACTCCATTCTATTTGGGAACGTTGTTGTTCGATCTTCTAGCGTTACTTCCACGGAATTCTTCCTCACACCTTGGCGGTAAAATAATATTGTCCAGAAACAATTTTCGCTCAATGAGTCACTGTAATAATGGCCTCCATGAACTGTTACCCAAACACCATAAAATCGTCCGGATCTCACCTGTAATGATCCTGTTTTGGTGACTGTGTCTTAAAAATCTAATTCGCGGTTCGGAAACAAACAACCAACAAACGAATTGTGTTATTACTGTTTACCACTTAACGTAGCTAAGATAATGTGTACTTTGTGTTACCAGCCTTGGTGTTTGGTGTGATCTGCCTAGGACTGACCTATGTGGCATATTTCCTGGGAGGAGTTTTACAGGTACTAACTAGTACTCTTAATTTCCACGATAACGTAAACATTTCTATATATTCAATTATTTTATTATCGTAAGCAATACAGCTTATTGATATTACATTACATGTATTATGCACAATACAATGTCATACAAAGTCAAGTTCAAACCATACACTAATAGGTATATTCACTCATTTTATAGACAAGAGGTGTGACCTCATTTCAAAAGCTTTACACAAAAAAAATCCAAATTTATACAGTTCTGTAACATTTTCTGTACTGGGTAATTTCAAAAGTTTATACATGGATGGCTTGCATCGGTAATAAGGTTTAAATAGTTTTTGTCGGAGGAAAATCATATTCTTTACTAATGAAAACAAAATGATTTTCATCTTCTACTTCGGTAGTACATATTGGGCATATACGGTTAGAAACATCCTGCTTAGTGTATCTTCCTGTTTCAATTGTTAAACAGTGCGCAGACAAACGAAAACTACAAATTATTTTCTTGAATTTCAATAAAATTGGCTTTGATAAATATCTCTGTAGGCATATGTGGTCTACAAGATATTGGTATAAGTTACACTTAGAAGAAGTTGAAAAAATAGTGAACAGATTTTGCTGAAATGTATCAGGCAAGCGTTGTTTGACTAAAGGAAGAAAAGATTTTAAATCAATATTTTGCTGATTTTGCCATATTTCTCCCATACCTAACATTGACAATTCCATTTTTACATTTGCTGCCCAGTTTTTACAATTTGGATTAGATTCACACCTATTAAACAAATATTCATAGCAACCTTGCAGTATACAATTTTGTGTTCTTAATTTTTACACCAGTATTTGAAAACCCTTAAATTCCTGATCACAGAAAAAGAGTATTTACCAAGCTCACAATACACCATAGCACTGGATGTTGACCTCTTTACACCGAGTATATTCTTAAAAAGATCAAGATGCACTGTTTCGATATCGTTAGCTTTATACATTCCCCACACTTCACATGCATAGTTAGCAATACTACCAACATATGTATCAAAAAGTGACAAGTAAGTTTTAATATTTCAGAATAATACCAAGGTAACAGAACTCATCAACAACTTCAATAAATTCACTTTTGTAAATCCATTTCTCATTACAACAAATATTTCCTGACTTTCTAAATACAAGAACTTTAGTTTTGTCAATATCAACTGATAGACTCCACACTGTTTTAAGGTACTTCCCAAAGACAAAATGGCTACCACCACTCATTTCAAATGAAGTACTTGAACAAGCACATTAAAGCATAAAATTTGCAATTAAATGGTAAATTTTTGAACAATTCAACAATTGAAAACCACTGAACGCAATATTTGCGGGCAAAAACTGGACAAAAATCTTAAGTTCTAAATATTTAACATTGTATGAGTTTCAATTAGATCTATTTGTCGAGAAAAGTGTAGGAAAATGCTTCAAATCTCGAGAATGATTACGTATTTTGATTATATATTTTACAATAATTTATCAAGCTGACAAGACTTTTGATACAACTCAAGCCATATTACCTGAGTGAGAACCTGTAGTGAATGGTGTACAGGTAAAAATCTTACTTGCTTTGCATGCTTTTTTACAACCTTACTCAGCCTTGTTCGCTTTGTGCTCAGTTGTGATTTATTCAGGGGAAATATATGCCATTATTCTGGAGATTTGACAAATTTTCTTACATTTTTCTCGACAAATGCATCTCAATGGACATCCAACCTTGTGATATTTACAAGTTTAAATGGGTTTTTTTCCTGAATTGGGACTTATATTCAGCTTGGAAAATGAACACATGAAAAGTGAGTTTTTTCATTAGTTATTGAATATTTTTTCTGAAATTTAGTGTGCATGTACCTCAATTTTGTTTGAGAAATATTGGAGGATTATTATTTTGTGATAGGTATTGTTTAATGCTAACGGAATGCATTATTGAATTTGATATACAGTTTGGTGTGGCAGCCATATTCGAATGTTCTTAAGAAAAATATCATGAGTCTACTGTAGGGAGACTGACTTCCAACCAGTCTAGAGCTCGGTCGACGCCAAGCCCTAAACTTTTGCATTCAAGTTTTGAATACACTCAATATGATAAGTTTTCTTCCGATATTGTGAAATGGCTAAAACGTTTTATTTTGATTGAATCACAAAAAAAACCATCAAACGCTTTGTATCTATTTTAGTGTAGTAAAAATGTTTTGCATTTCTAACCGGAAATTGATCCGATTAACATAGCCTCCATCAATTATAAACTTATTTGATTTCTCTGATAACAATAAACTACAAACTGTTTGTTCCATCATGTTTGTATCCTGGAAATATCCAGGCATGTAAAAGAAGAATATGAGAATTCAAATTCGGTATCGATTTCATATTTGCCACCCAGAACTCATTGAAATAGAATTTATAGAATCCCATTCGTGTTACCTGCTGACGTAAACCCATGCTTTGTACCACAGGCTACTCTGTCGCTGTACGGCATGATTGGAGGACCGCTACTGGGACTATTCATCCTCGGAATGATGTTCCCCTGGGCCAACAAATGGGTAAGAATATGTCATTAAGCAGCGTTATAATTTACACGAAACGTACAACACATAACAAATATGACGCTTAACGTTCTTTCTCTAATGTTTCGTTCTCAGGGAGCGTACGCCGGTCTACTGTTTGGACTCGTTTTCATGTTCTGGATAGGTGTAGGGGCGCAGTTATACCCTCCGGTCATACCTACGTCTCCTATATCCACCATAGATTGTAACTGGAATCTCACCATAGCGCCAAACATAACCGCCGCATCGTCCATTCTTAATTCTACATCGAATGCTCCAACACAAGAGGACAGGTAGGTATTAAATATATTCCTTTTATGCGACAGGAAGACGTAATTTAACTTATTTGAGTATTTAAAAACATAAGAGAATACCAAAGTATCAAAATCAAACACCTTTCAAACTCTCAATCGATCAATCTACGGCAAAATATGAATAATGAATCTATTTACACCGGGACCCTTGCCAACATAGAAGGAGAATAAGACCAGGTGTTCCGGAATATTAAGCATTTTCTTTTTTATCGACCGCAATGACCACGTTAATATGTATTAGACAGCATGCTCGTGGTTTTATGTTCAATTGACGCATTTGGTTCATTAATACAACTTTGATTACTTTTACAGGGAGAAGTGTGAGAGAAAAAAATACTAGTCTATTTTGTGTTATACAGACAGAATAATAGTACTTCTTGGGATAAGGTTTCTGAAGTTCGGCCTTGTTTTGCAACTCAAAAGCATACACTTGTATTGAGATTTATCTATACACATCAAACGCAAATGATTGATTGTCTTAATGATCTGTTTATTTAACAAGTAGCTTTCCCTTCATACATGACAGAGGTTGGCGTACTATTAGTTAGATAGATAAACAGATAGAAAGATGCCCATTTATATAGGACAGGTTGACGTCTCTTTAATATGTTCTAAGCTTACTTTTAGCTATTCGGTTTATCTTCCACCCCAAACTCATACTTATGAATCATTTGTACTTTTTGTTACAGCAATCCTCTCCACAAACTGTACACGTTATCTTACATGTGGTACAGCGCTACGGCCGTGCTTGCCACCTGTGTAGTGGGACTAATCGTCAGTGGAATTACAGGTAAATTATATATATAATGGGGTCATTATCAATGTAATCACAGGTAAATTGCAAATGTGTTATTGGTCTGCTTCTTAGCGGAAACGTGTGTGAGTAAAATATATTTTGAAATAAGTAGCATAGTTACATTTGTCGTAACGATATTGATAATTAGTCGTTATAGAAATAACATCATCCTAACATGACTAAAACTAGCTACATGTTTCTCTCAAAAGTACCCCATCCCGACATGACTAAAACTAGGCGTGTAACTCCATCAAACTGTCCCGTCCGGTATATGGTATGCTATGGTTATAAACTCTTTGATAGTCAATAACAAATTAAAGCATAAGAAGACATTCATTTATTATAGGATTATATAAATCCAATGTTTGTAGGATTCAATGATCCCGTGGAAGCTGACGCCCGTCTGATCTGTCCATTGTTTGATATTCTGTTCCCGTATCTACCCGAGGTGATCCGCAAACCTATGCGCTTCGGCGTGGACTACAGCACTCTTGAGGTAGCACTTTTACTTGTTTGGTAAATTTTAACGTCTCTCACTTTACCTCCTTCAAATGACAAATACAGACATATGTTGGCCGTCAAATGGTTAAATGTACTACATACTACATACGTGAAGTAGATGTTGATATATTATGGATGCAAATTGGTCAGATGGTGTGGTTAGGTGGACGAGATAAAATGCTGGACAAAACTTCACTTAAGAAAACATCATCGATTGTGCGTGTATTTTGATTGAGAATAACAAACGAAAGCCAATAACGCCCGACTTAGTGAATATTTCCAACAGTTTTGCACCATCGTTATATATTCTACCATAATATACAAACATGTGTTGATTGTACCTATTCTACCACGTGAAATGTAATGAAAAAGTGGTGTGGTTTTTTTTTGTCTTCCTCAGTGTCCATATACGTGTACATCTATGTTATTTAAGGTGACCTAGATAATTTATCTATTTAAAACAGGATGCTCATTTGTGAGTGCAGACGTCTGTCACGTGTCTTCGTTTTACAATAAGCTGCATGTTTAATCATTACTGATGCTGTGGGCAGTTGTCCATTTTTTGCCTGTTCAAATACGATATATTTGAAAAAGGATCATATAAGTTGATAATTTGATGGATTATCGTAAGCATACTAGAAATAAAAAGAACCAACGAAAACGTTGTGCATAGCTGATGATAGTTAACATCAACACACAACCCGCCTTAATGAAACAGTCTCGTTTTGAGTCTGAAAACCCCACAATCTTCATATTTAGGTGTTATTTTTCGTCATTTGAAAGTATACATTTATAACAATGAATCTATCGACATCGCTAGTCAACACATAGATGGTACACTTGACACATATCTACAAATGATACTGCAAGTCACCTTTATGACAGGCTTTAGTAGAATTAGAGGCTAAACAGCGAACGTCCAAGTATAAACTAAAAGGATTGTACCCTTCCTCCACAAAACTAAGTCAGTCCTTGTCTCGCTTGCTTTCATTTGCAATATGGGGAGGTATTTGGAAGGATGTTGCACGTACCTAATTGTTCAAAATTAATACACGCATGAGCATGCACTAGCGTGCAGGATTTCATGGTTTTTAATAAGAGAAATGCGTCGTCATATCACAGACGTAGTACAGTAAAGAAATATCAACACATGTGTGTAAATTATGGGAGATAATATAACTGAAGTATGAATTCTGAAGTATATATTAATTGTCATGCATTACTTTCAATCATAGTGAAGTATGTGTTACCTTGTTATTTGTATCATTACATACTACCGAATTATTTATTACTTTGCATCATTAAAAAATATGTATTCCTTTTTTTCACCCTGATTTATACATCTCTTTGTATCCTTCCCGAGATGTTTTTATTATTATTATTATTTTGTATCGTTCCTTAATATTTATAACCTTGTAATTTACCGAAATATGTATTGCTTGTATTCATTATCTTGTATCTTACTGAAGCTTGACCAACATGTAATGATTTTGTATGAGTGTTGCCGTTAGCTTTGCATAATTTCAGGGGTTTATTTTCAGACATCATCGGGATCCAGTAATGAATCTGAAGTCAAAATGACTGTATCGTCAGATGTCAAAAAGAAGTATCAGAGGAGATTTGATAAAATCAACGGGATAGAAAAGGGCAGGTCTGCAAGTCAGGACAGTGGCATAGAACAGGAGGGAAGTGAAGAAGTTGATAACGATCCACGCTTGTACAACCAGAACACAGATTCGACGACATATACCACCAAACTTTGACCCACATGTATACACTTGTAGCAGTTTTTTATATATTTATTTCTGCAAGGGATTGTATCCCATTCATCTTCGAAATAACATTCCGCAATTTCCCTTGGGATTGCCAGATAATTTTAAAAAAAAATCCTTTTACAACTCTATATCATGTCTAGAAAGGCAATCGTCGTCCTTCCAGCCACCATTTGTCATTGTAAGCACTTGATTTGTGGCAAATCTTGTCATGCGCATTTTGACTACAAGGATGAGTGGTAGGCGGTACTTTGAAGGTATTTGTTCGGACCAAACAAAATGCATGGTATAATGTGTTTGTGATATAACAACTTTTCCTATGACCGAAAGAAAAATTCTATCACGAAAGTGCAAATAATGCGACATTAAAGACAAAAGCGTAATGATTTTTTTTCCGTTATCAAAGAGCTTCGGAATGTTCAGAATTGTCAATACATGTCCTATAACAATGAAAGTAAAGTCAAATTTAATGTTAATCATATGGCTCATTTAAGGGTAACAGTTATATTTTGAAACCATTTCTCCGACATTGCAATGGTATTTGGCACAATCTGCGGAATTTAAAAAACAAACGTATTTTCCTTATATACATACAACATGTACAGGGAATATAAATTTGACATGAAGAAATATAATTATAGAAGCACAGAAGATAAACATTTAAGATGGGAGGATCAAGATTAACCAAGAAGTGAATATACGCGAGCTTGACACAAGGTGCTAGGTATGTGTTAATAAAGTTGAAGGATGTAAAACCCGAGAATCTTTAAAAGCAGACTCGTCCCATATCACAAAAAAAGCACATGTACAGCTGATACACTATATCAGAGGGTCAGGAAGCTTGTCTATTATTCAATTAATTAATCAATTTCTTTTATTCCTCAAATGAGATATTTTAAATACAAAACAAACAAGAGGTCCATGGGCTTTAATGGTCACCTGAGTCCTACAGTATTAATTTTTGTTGTTGAAATATGAAGTGGAGATAATGATCATCCCTACCCAAAGTATTACTTTAAGTTAAGTTTGTCAGGACAATGAATTGATCATTCCTAGACAGAGCTTCAGTTAATTCGGCCTATTAGAACTTGATTTTAAGTTTTTAATAGATTTTTTTCCAAAATGGCAGCCATGGCGGCAGAAGTAGATTTTTTAAGGACCTGAAAAAAAACCCTTTTGCCAGGACCATGAGTTGATCATTCCTACCAAGTTTCAGTTAAATCGGTTCAGTAGAACTTGACTTTAAGTTGGAAATAGTTTTTCAAAATGGCCTGCCCAAGAAGCCATATTGGATTTCTGATAGACCCGAAAAATAACAACACTTTGTCAGGTTTCAGTTAAATAGGCCCAGTTGAACTTGACTAAGTTTGCAATAGTTTTTCAAACTGGCTGCCGTGGTGGCCATATTGGATTTCTGATCGACCCGAAAAATAACAACACTTTGTCATGACCACGAGTTGATCATTCCTACCAAGTTTCAGTTAAATCAGCCCAGTAGAACTTGACTTTAAGTTGGAAATAGCTTTTCAAAATTGCGGCCTTGGTGGCCATATTGGATTTCTGATCGACCCGAAAAATAACAACACTTGGTCAGGGAGTTGTCAGTAACATTCCCATGAAGTATCAATGAAATCCCTTTGACAGTTTTTCAGCTAAGTTGAAAATGTAAAATGTTAATGGACGACGCACGACGCACGACGAAGATGTCTAGCAATAGGTCACTTGAGCTAAAGCTCGGGTGATCTAAAAAGCAATGAATGAAAAATGTTCTTTTTTCCGTGGAACCATTCAGGCATCAATCCTGTTTGTGTTCGTGGATTTATCCACTCGCAGAATTGTGATTATCCTCAGGATGAAGAAGGAAAATGAGTATTGTATTTGACCGCGTCAGAGAATTTGTCTAACAGACAGCAGTACCTGATCAACACCAGCATGCTTTAAAAGTTTAATCAACAACACAATTTATTGTCTTTTTCTCAAGTGTCAGCAGATGTCCAAACTATTGACGACGTCCAAGCTGTAAAATGTTGATTGGTATATTGTACATGGACCTGCACATGGAGAAACAGGTAGATGGCATGACAAATTCTGTCACTACCAGGTTAGGAACTGTATACGTTGCATGTATCCGGCAGTATATTACCATAGATGCATGCAAAACTTTCGTTTTTTCATTTCGGTCAACCACACAACGGCTAGGATTAGGTGAAGATATTAATTGCAATGATCGGTCCTTGAGTGAAAACAAATAATCTGATAAACTCAAGATTCTGATTTCTATGATAATCTGTGTAAATATTACATTGTTTGTCGACATGATATACAGTAATGTATATGTACGCGATTGTGATATATATAATTTTCCGCGTGAACATGAAAAGAGAGAAGGAATTGTTATATATCTTAAAAAGTCATTGATTGGAATTTGTTCAATTGTAGAAAGCATTTTAGACTGCATGGTTGTTTTGAAAATAAAATATGCTAATGCTAATTATTTCCCTTATGAAAAGTATTTATTTGTGACAGGATTGATACAGATATTTCAATTGTCTTGTTGCAGAATATGAGAAGTATGGTTATAATGATATTACATGGGATTTAACAGTAGAACCGTGAGTTAGAAGACTACGTATTTTCTGATAGGATAGACATACAGCATACTAATGTTCTATCAAATAGTTGTAAGTGGTACAGCACTGGTAAGGGTATCAATCAGTTTGGTAGACAGATGATAGAGCTTGGTAAGGCCACTTTCTCAAGAGTTGTGAATGGTAGATATATTGGGGACCCAAAAGTTTATATAACGTTCTGTAGCAATAATTGAGCTAGTATGTGTGGTTATATTCTTGCTTTTTATCTGTTTCCACATGATCAAATCGTTTAGAACTAGAACACTGACAGGTCAGAAAGGGCCACGTCTTGTGGCAGTATATCCCCTATAATCATCAAGAATCAATCTGCCCATATAGCTGAACTTGACTTTTGACATTTTGACTTCAAAAAGAATCGCAAGGAAGCAAAATATATCCTAAATATTATTACAAGCATTAAATAACCCTCTACGGTCTTCCTCTAGTAAATGCAATGCTCTCTCTGCATGATCCCCATTCCATTTAACATTTGTATATGTATTATCTTTATCATTATAATCAGGTACAACTACGTTTTGTTCAAATGAATCCACAGTAATACAAATTTGAGAATGGTCTGAAAAAACATTAAATATTCTACTCTCAAAGTGAGTAATATTCTTTAAGAAATCATCAACAGTCAATACATATTCTATTAGACTAGATCCCCTACTATTCAAATAGCTATACTACCATTAGGATCATCTTTATGTCGTCCATTCACAATTCTCAAGGAAGTAGCTTTACACAGTGAAAGAAGATGTCTTCCAAATTGGTTAATATGCAATATCATTACTTACATAATCGTCGTAAATACCCGTTCTACTATTGAAATCTCCTAGTACAATCACTTTACCTCATCCTTTATATTCACACACCATTTCCTCAAGTCTGGCAAAAATATCATTTTCACATTTGTGATAAAAAAAACACTATTTACAGGCGGGAAATAGCAAGCAAATGCATATATATCACTGACATTATTTCTAATGTTATTGGATATTTCTAACAATACAATGTTGTCATTAATGTTATCTATTACCGTACAATAATCGCAGATAGTTGATTTAATAAAAATTACAATTCCACCGCCTTTACCATGCATTCTAGGAAACACACAGCTGTCATAACCTTCCAATTCCACTTCATCCTCTTTCTCAACCCACGTTTCATACAAACATACAACATCATATTTGGTAATAATATTTACAAACTCTTCTGTATCTAATTTGTCCGTGATCGATCTACATATATTCAATGAAATAATGGAAAGCCCCTCCACACAACCCTAATACGACAAGTCGTGATTCCCTCTAGGTGGCTCGTGATCGAAGTGCTCACTGTGGTCCTTTCGCGAAGATGAACCCCTCCACCTCTGGCCAGTAGCCGTATGTTGTCCTCGCGAGGGTCGCGGTTTGAATTCGGCTATGCGTTCTTGTCGCGCTGGCGTGTAGTGCCAGTCTGGTGCTATTGGCGACCCAATACCATGGAAGCTGGCTATGGGCTGCTGCGGCGAGCTGGTGCGCGCGCGGGACTCGGGCGGCTGATGTCGTTCACGCCCATCATACATTGCGAAACCTCCGATAATTGCGCCTCCCATATACTATACCAGTTTCAATGACTCAACCTTATCCTGAAGGGTACCACATTGACTTGAAATATCATTATTTCCTTCATAAGACTTTTAATCTAAGTGGATTGGTAATTTATCTTGGCAGCTGGGGCACTAATGGTGTGTTTGAGCTGTTCTATAATTTCGTCGAGAGAACTTGATTCTGTCACAGTGTTCTTAAACATGTTTTTGAAATGGGGAAGCATGGCATCAACCCAAACAGGAGCCATTGATGAGGCAAAGGTAGGATTGGACACTGTACCATGGATCGGTGAATTTAAGTCAACTGCCTTATCTTTTCCGACCTCGAATTTAAAAGATGGCGTCGACGGGTCCAGGGTGAAGCTTTCCATTGAATTCCTTTTTCTATGGCTTGGATGTGTATCCTGGACTTGGGGTGGTGTTTCCGGCGCCTTACGCTTGGTGGTAGTATGAACCATCGGAAGAGCGGTATTACCTCACTGGCTCATGTTGCTTTCCGTTGGTGGGATGTGTACAAGTCTGTACACTGAAGATGCACGTGAACAACAGGTAACACAAAGGCCGTAACATTCCCGACAAAAACATCTCGATTGCCAGATTAACAATGGGAAAATTCACATATTCAAATTATGTAAAAGCGTGTGTAGAGTGTCTTAAAATTAAAATTAACACGTATAAATACCAAGCTTGTCAAGCTTTTCGCCGGAGAATTCACAGTACGTGTGCTGTAGTCGCCACCTGAAAACTGATATTTGTATTTTATTCTTTCTATTCAGCATTTAAATACAAGAAAGTTGTTGAGAAATGCCAACGTTAAAAAAAAAATCCATGCTAACAATCTTAAAGTTTAAAAATACAACTTATATGATAAGTGTTATTGTAGTTGCACTGTTTATATGCACTGTAGTCTGAAGACTTATTGAACCTGAACCTAAAGAACCTTAAGTTGAACTTGAAAACTTGTTAGCACATCCTGTAGTGTAATACACTAATTATAACTAGCCCTCTAGATCTATTGTACTGTAGTTTCTTTAGCACAGACGTCTTAACTCTTGTGAATACCACACCACCTTACATACAAACGAAAATCAACGAACAGAATGTGTATTGTGTAATGTAGCTATGTCTGCATAAAAAATGTTTCTGTAATTATAAGTCAGGTTTACTGTGAAGCGCCTAGGAATAACTTTGTAAAGTATATACGACGCTTACAAATCTTGTATATATGGAAAGATTAGCAGTGGCGGACCCATGGGTGTTGCCCTAGTTGCCCGGGCAACACCATTTTTTTCTATGTCCAAAAATAATCTGGACGTAGGTTTTTGAAGATTTTCCTCTGTTTCATATGGGATTTCCTTCTAATATCAACCATCCCCTGAACTATGATGTTCTATGGCTTCCCCTTGCCAGCGGTTTGAATAGCTATATATTCCTAAGGGTGTTGCCCAAACAAAGAGTCCAGTACTTATACTCTAAACAGAGTAAAACCTGATAAACCTGTATTTTCACCTGAGGTTTCATGTACACACGATCACCAGGAGTGATTTGTTTTACCAATTCAAAATATAAATTTCGAAAATAAAACCAATAACCAATATTGGCATCCAAGACTGGCGTGTACATCCTTTTCATTGAAGGTGGCCCTGTACATACGTATGCATACTATTTCACAATACAAGACAAACAATTAAATCATAACTCATATTCATGACAAAATAAATCAGATTGTTTTAACCAAAAACCTACATTTTTACCATTTTTAAGAGAATTTGTTAACACTCGCTCCGCTCGGCCATCATAAAATATAAATACTTTACGTTATAAAATATAACCTGGAATAATCCCGCAAACTCAGAAAACTATTCTACGCCTCATTCGATCTGTTTGACAATGGAAATAATGTCCGATAAATTCTTGCTTTCTACGCTCGGCAGTGCTCGAAATAGTTTACTATTACATCTTCAGAAGAAAAAAAATCGCCTCGCTCCACTCGGCAGGGAAAATATAATTGTCACAATCTCAGAAATAATGAAGTTCTATGTTATATATTTTTGGTGCCAGAAAGGAGTATCACGTGCAACCTACACGAAAATTTAAATGTATTAGTAAACAAATGTACATAGCATGGAACAAAGACACTTTTAATACAAATGTTGTAACTCACTTGATCAAGTATAATAATGGCGATAATTCATTTATTTCCATACTCTTTTTAAAATCAACGAATGCCCGGATGAAATTATTGTAAGGATAAAATTCACTCAACACCGGTTAGTGTTTTTACGATGATAAACTGATGTATAGACCTTTGAGAGTCCTGACGACGTGTGTATCTCGTTCAAAAGTACGAAGTCAGGGTGAAAGGAACTGCCATGGATTTAATGGTGAGATATGCCGTCACCTTTATGTTCACCTAGTCTAAAATAACGGTAAACTTTACAACGTTACTGGACACGAAGCAGTGTCACTGTACTGACCACTGATCATGAGAGGCACTCGGAATGTACTGAGGCAGTCATGAGGGGTAGATAGAATATAGTCTGCACACGTACGGTGTTACTCGGCATATACTGATACGGGTCTTTATTAAAACTCTTTTGTTTACAATGTATGTATTGCATATTTGTTAAATTGCCTACAGACTTGGCATGTCATTGGTTGACTTGCTCCAGCGGTAAATTTACATGTGTACACATCGTACTATGTGCCTCGTTTTCAAAATGAAAGTAGACAAAGACGATCGCGAGACACTGAACGAACAGTGCTTCAGGAGGGGTGTAGTTTGAGCAAAACTTGTTTGTATATGTAGTGTTTAATAAATAATAAGATATTTAAATACATATACGGATACACTTCTACTAATAAAGCATTGAGCTCTATGAGATATATAATATATGTAGTACAGATGGAGGACGAGGAATAGTGATAAAGATAATGCCGTCGCTGGGGCTCGAACCCGTGACCCTTGACTCTTCAGCCCGATACTCTACTGCTAAGCTAAAGGGAAAATGATCCACATCTTTTACACTATTCCCGCCTTTTTTTCAAACACCAACCCAGGTTCTCTGACTCCCAGCCAAGGGTTCTCCTACCTTGAACGGGGAGGGTCAACGGCACCAATTTGTAGTAGTACGAGGAATAGTGATAAAGATAGTGCCGTCGCTAGTCCAGCCCGATGCTCTACCACTAAACTAAAGGGAAATTCCCTACAGCTGACGCTTGTATTGCAACCTAATTGATCCACATCTTTTACATATAATGAGACCTTTTACTCTAGGTCGACAGGGACATGTATCGCTTTATTGGATAAACAATTCAATAAAGTTTAGTTGAATTGAATTTATTTGTTAAGGCGGTGTGGGGGTGGGGGTGGGGTACCGTATACTGTATACTAAAAACAGACTCCCTCACCCATCCATTTTTTCCTCTACAAATATATATAAAGCAAACCACTTCCCTGTGTACAGGTTGATTTCACTGATAGAGCTTCCTACATCGCCGTCATTGTGCCTATTTCTTTGTACAGTTGTATTAATATACGTTATTGGTTAATAGTTTTTCACCAGACTTGATTTATATTACAATTCAATTCTCAATTTATTTGCTTCCAAAATATATTTACCAAGTTGACACAGTTCCTTAGTGTTGTTTACACACAATAATCGCATAAATTTAAACATCGATGTTTTTCTCCAGTAATATATCTTTATATATTGACTTTTTGACAATTTTGACAACTATTACATATTAGCACAGAATGGTATTCATCTGCAACCTTATTTACATTACAGACCAGACTCTGAGTGAGAAGTCGTACTGGACCACCAGGTACGAGACACCGCGGGTTAGAGCTGTAGACTGGCTGGCTCCGGCTGACGTCATCGCCGATCATGTCGTCAGTAAAATAGAAACCTTGTCCACCGGAAGGAGCGGGTCATTGGTACGCCTTCTGGACGTGGGCTGTGGTACCTCCCATGTACCGCTACATCTCCTACAGTCACTACCATATCCCCTCCAGCTTGTCTGCCTCGACTACGTTCCTGGTGCCGCTCGGTGGCAATCAGATGTGCTCGCCAAAAGCTCGCTGTATAACAAACTGTCGACATACACGTGTATCACTGGCGATGTACGTGCATTACCTTTTAGAAATGATACTTTCCATGTGATTCTGGACAAAGGGACTCTGGACTCGCTGCTGAAGGACAGGCGGAGGGCGCTACAGTCCTGCGATATGATGATTATCGAGTGTCTGCGGATCCTCCGTACAGGGGGAGTGTTATTACAAATCACGGACGAAGACCCGGATTTAAGGATACGGCTTCTAGAGGAAGTATTCTCCAGGATCCAGGTCAGCGCCCATGTTTCCTACAGTCAGGTCGAGACGCACGGATACGAGTGTTTTATGTACGCGTTGTCATTGTGACGTCATGGTGACCGTGTCCTGACATAAGTTACAGGTCAGGCCATATGTTGACATAATTACGACGTTGGCTAACTTTTTCATGCAAACAGTATGAAATACATGTACAGTAAAATAAAGAGAGTCTGATTTCGTACACGTACGTGTTTATTTCTGTTTAATACATGTGGGAGATCTTGTATATCGTGGATTTCTTCTTAAATGTAAATTAAGTTTGAAAAAAAAACAACGATTTGACTGAGATTCTAGCCCTCAACCTTTCAACTTTTTATTGTTGCTCTAACCAAATGATCACCGGTGATCGAATCAGTCCAGATCCATTTCACGTGGCGCCTCTTCCGCCACTCACATCACTGTCTTCCACGCTATGTTATTATTCTGACGTTTTATCGACTTTTTTTTTTATATCGGTCTGTCGTCGATTAACGTCAGAAATCCGGCCCTCTATAATATGCGAGAAATGATATAAGCGACCCGCGCCTGGTAATGATCTTTGAATCATGTTATTGATACCACCTAGTGCATAAAGAATAGATCTTTCGATCCTTGTGCGAAATGTGTGTGGAAGTGACGATTTGTTTCTAAAATATCAGTTTGAAGTGCGACCCGGGCGCGGGTCGCATATTTCCCACATATTATAGAGGGCCGGAGGTCTGACGTTAATCGACGACAGACCGATATAAACAAAAGTCGATAAAACGTCAGAATAATTCGGACTATGCTCTCCCTTGCACATCACTTGTATTGCTTCTGTGGCTTCATATAACACCAGCCTGTTGCTGCCTCTACTACCTTCAATCAGGCCTGTCAATGTCCCTAGGCTCGTGCATTGTAGCACTCAACCGCCCATCAGTCCATACTCTTTGGCCTACATTAACCATAAGTTACACGTACACATAATGGCTGGACATTGTCCGTCAGTTCTGACATTGGTCATCACGACTCATCAGTCCATACTCCGTGACTTGACCTTGTTCATCATGCCATAACTACATTGTAGGTTATTACATATTCATCAGTCCATACACTGCGGTCTGACATTGGCCTTCATTGCGGCTATGACGGCAACGTCCTGTATACAGTTAGGTAGGGCACCGAACAAGTTGCTGAGAAGGCACATGGTTCGGCCTGGGACGTACCGACTTTTGGGGTGCCGTGCTATGACAGCGTGCTCAAGACAGTCTATGACCTCGTGTATCCGCTTTGAGGAAAATGATAGGTGTGTCTTGAGCGTGGCATGGAACGTGTGGAAGTATTGCTCGCCGTAGTCGTCCCGGATATGTTGTGGAGTTGTGGCCCAAGACTGCTCTGCTTGGCCCAGCTGCATTGAACGCTCCGCCATTGGCGTCCTGTAATACACAACAGACATGCACAATAGTCGCAAGGTATAAGTCATTATTAAGCTCGAATTGAAAGTAATATTGTTTATAAGTTACCATGTTAAAGTCCAGAGGCTCTAAATCATCAAGTTTTCAAAACTGGCAAAAGGGAGACATTGAACTTCCAAAGGGAATGATATCGAGAGGGGTATAAGGCTTCGAAATTTTACTAATTTAAGATCACACACATCAAGCCGAAGGCGTGAGCTACCTATTGCGGTCAGTTCTGTCCTTCGTCGTCAGTTGTTTGTCATGATGCGCCGTTACCAAGAGTAACACTTATAACCAGTATGGTTATAAAATGTACGCGGTGTTATGTTACCTACACCTTCAATATTCACCGGAAGTTTACACGAGACGTTTCTGTAATATACTGACCTGTACATGTTAGGCTCAATGGTCACCACATTCACCTTGAACTTGACCATTTCACGCCGAAGACAGTCGGAGAATCCAACCACGCCATGTTTTGTAGCAGAGTAAGCAGTAAACCCCGGGAGGCCAACACGCCCTAAGATATTGAAAACACTTAGTCAAGTAGTTATTTTTTTCAACAATTACTTTGTAACAATATACCAAAGTATATATTATTGATTACTGCATGGACTTACTACGTTAATTAATCAACTATAGTACATTGATGTATAATGAGCAGGCAAGTACTCGCTTGCACACACTAAACAAATATGGTACAGTACAAATGTATCATTTTTTTCCATACATGTTCTGGGAACGTGACCACGTGAGGCAACTGATGTGGAACCCTTGTAGGTGTGTTCAGCTCAGGGGACATTGATACAGCCAAAATTGATCTACTGCTCCTAATACAATACCTGGGACTTTTTTTACTTTTTGTGGTGTCTCCTTAGACTATTTTCAGTATAATGTGACCGTGTCCAAGTTATGACAAAAACTTAAAAATTAATCGTGTTCATCTACCTGCTAAACTGGCGACATTGACCACCCGTCCTCGTGTCTGCCTGACAAGTGGTAGGAAAGCTTTGGTCACTCGTATGGTCCCAACCAGGTTGACCTCTAGTGACCGCCGGTACGTGTCCATTGGGCACCATTCACACTCTGTGAAAACCGCAATTCCCGCGTTATTAATCAGGCTCCACAGTCCACCTGTGATTTAAAAAACAAAGTACTAGATACGTGTACCGTATCACAAAACAAAACCTGTATGAACTTTGAACTTTACCACCTACTGTATCACATAACTTTTTGCATCTTTACTGTGAATAACCGTGTAGAAAAAAAGGACTGCTATTTATCAGGTCCCCGTGACCTGTATAAAATGTCGCACAAAAGGTCTACGACAGAAAATTTTGGGAACTGCTGGGACAATCGTGGATGTGTTTTACGAAATCCTTTGGGTGTTTTGCGACGAAAAATGCTTGTAGAGTTTAGAACATGTCTTTTTTTCAGCGCCGTATGTAATTCCCGGCGTCAGGATAATTTTGTACGTCTGTCGTGCGACGCCTTTCGACGTCAGACTACGACTGTCATAACGATAGATCCATCCTCGATATCCAGGGGTGACGTTCTATGCAGAGAGCAAAACTGAGCGTAACCCCTTGGTATCGAGGATGCGATAGATCTAGACCTACGAATTTTTAGACGATTTTTAGGTAAGTTAACCCACGATATTTCTACGAATGTTCCACCTTCGTACGTCCTTTTTGTGACTGTCATGGGTTAATCCTGCGACAATAATTATATCTGAAGACAGGCATGCGACTGTCGTAGGAACATCGTAAGATTTGACTTCGGCAGTCTTGGTATATTTTCCCACAACACTCGTACACATATATATATGCGCAGCTTTCCAATCAATTTACCCCATCCTCGATTTTCCAGGGATTACGCTCAGTTATGTTCTCCAACGTAAGAGAGCGTAACCGGCCTGGAATTTCGAGAATGACCTCTCTCACACCTTCATCAGTCCCTTCTGTCGTAGATCCGCTTAAATAGTACAAAACATGTCGTACGTATTGCTGGTGAAAGGTGCCTAACACCAAGTTACCTTGTTCTTGTGTCCTGACGGTTACAATTTCCAATGCCGCTTGTACCTGATGGTCACTCGTGACGTCAACCTGGACAGTCTGCACACGGGACGTCTCCCTTACCAGTGCCCTGGCGCCTTGACTATTGGCGTCCAAACAGCCAGCCAACACCACAAACCCTAGGACGTCGAGACGCCGGGCCAGCAGATTACCAAACCCTGTATCACATCCTGTGGACAATTAAGTCAAAACAAGTCTCAACTTTAACATCAGTCTTTACATTGTACTTAAGGGTATTTCATCCGCGTTCTTGACATTTTAGGGAATTTATTGTTACAAATATTATTGTATTTTTGAAAGGTGACATTTGAACATAGGATTATTGTGCACACGCACAGACTTGCAACAACAAGAATATACATTTACATTATATTGCTGTACTCAGGAAAGTTGAATTGGTTCCTAGATATGATGAAGAGGTCAAATGTATATACCTTACTTTATTTCACCAGCTAAACAATATAAATAAGTATGGCCTTCAATACTTTTAAAATAATCTTTAGTTGCGTCGCTCGTGTTGCTCATATTCCTTTTCTAAGCAAACGATAATAATTACTGCATATATGTTGCCTACCGTTGCCAATATTGAGAAAACAAATATCTTGAATAATTAGAATTAGAATGAAATCCATGTGTGATACTCTATTACAAACAGTTTGTTGTTGTAAAAAAAAACGTATAAATGTTGACCACGATTCATCAGAATCCTGTCATATTTGATTAGCTATAAAGTTGTTGTGTTGGAGCAGTCCTGTATGCTTATTTAATTATAGTGTTTAGGCTGTATCCTGATGTGTAGAGAGTAATATAAGATATTTTAGGGGTAAAAATAAACCCCTAAAAGGTAGGGTCAGCGCCCATAACATTAGCGTCGGCCCCCGCTTGGAATTTCGATAAAAAAGATAAACAAAAAAGGTTTAGGTAAAGGAAGCTGCAATCAGAAAGGATTAGTTTCAGAATTCATTTTATGACAAATGGGACCTCATTGACTAACACTTGTGTGGGTATTAAAGGTGCGGTAGTACAAGTCCTCCGAGGGTATTTAAATGACACAATTACTATGAAATTATATCAATATTGTGTGCAACATATTCCAACTATATTTTGATACAAAATAGAAAGAATTGCTCTTTTTATTGAAGATTTAAGCTGAACGGTATGTGAAATTAATTACTAATGAGAGAATTATCATTTTGGACAAGTTAATTTACATAGTTCCAAAACGATTCTTTTTTCGTACTTGCTTAAATAGCTTTCAACATCAGGAATTTAAAAAACAAGAAGCCCATGGGCCTTAACGGTCACCTGAGTTATGCAAAAACTGATGTTATCTATGTTGCCAAATGAAAAAGAAATCATTTTGTAACAAAGGTAGCTTGAACTACATTACATGTAATGCAAAAGTAGTGTGAAAGATCTGGGTAGTATATGTACGATGTACAAATTGTGGTTCAGTCAGTCAGCTGAATTATGGTAAGGCACCTTAAGACCCTTCCATCTATGAAAAGTGTTTAATTCTACCCTATCAGGATCTTGAGAAGACGATTTTTGAAATTTTAGTCAATTTGACCCTTTTTGGCCCCGCCCCTCAGGCTCCTGGGGACTGGGGAACATATAATTCAAAATTAAACTATAGTAAAGTTTACCCCTTCCCCAGGGTGAAACGTGAGACCCCAGAGTCATGAAATTCACAATTTTGGTAAAGCACCTTAAGACCCTTCCATCTATGAAGAGTATTTGATTCTACCATATCTGGGTCTTAAGAAGAAGATTTTTGAAATTTCAGTCAATTCGACCCATTTTGACCCACCCATCAGCCCCTGGGGGTCAGTCAGGGCTGATATGTGCATACTATCAATCTGCTATCCAATATATTGATAATGCTTACCAAGTTTGAATTAATTCCAATGGAAATTAAACAAATATGCTGGTCCAAAATGTGATTTCCCTATATAAACTATAACAAAGTTTACCCCCTCCCCAGGGGGAAACGTGAGACCCCAGGGTCATGACATTCACGATTTTAGTTAGGAACCTTAAGACCCTTCCATCTATGAAGAGTATTTGATTCTACCATATCTGGATCTTGAGAAGAAGATTTTTGAAATTTTAGTCAATTTGACCCTTTTTGGCCCCGCCCCTCAGGCCCCTGGGACCATATAATTCACAAATTTGGTTGACCTTTGGCCATGGAAGGTTTCTGCAAAATTTCAATGAAATTTGTTCAGAGGTTTTGGAGAAGAAGTCAAAAATGTAAATTGTTTACGGACGCACGACGGACGACGTACGACGCCGAACAAAAGGCGATCGCAATAGGTCACTTGAGACTTTGTCTCAGGTGACATAAAAATACAACCGGTAAAGACATATAAGTCCTTTTATTAAAAAAAGAAGAAAGACAAAGCTTTCTTTCCACTTTGCCTTTAGATTGTATTTCTTCATAACAAAATGCCTTTGGCAAGTACAGTTGAGGTTGTTCATCTGAATAGATATAAGTTTGGTAAACATTGGTGACCTTGACCTTCGTTCAAGGTCACAAGAATCAAATGTGCTTAAATATGTTTTTTTGTATGGGGAGTCAGACAAGGATATCTTTCCTTGCTTTACTTGTTTAGAGTTAAATATATAAAATAATGTACATTTAATATTCCTTCATATATTGTTTAATGAAATTTTCATGATTATGTGAAATTGTGCATTGTCCATGTTTTGACATGCTAAAAACGTATTATACCGGTTTTGATATTACATAAAAATTATTTAAAGCTTTTAAGTATACAATTTAGACTACCACTGTAACTATACATAGATAAGTTGACATTGTTGGAGATATTTCAAATTTTGTGATAATTTTGCATGTTTTTTCTAATTGTACATTGTATATCAATATGACATATTTATTATAAACAGTTATTGTATACACTTTACATGCACTATCATAATTCATTTTCAAAATTACATTCGCTTGTGACATTTATCTGTCATTTTGTTACGATACCCCGTCACTCAACCTGGTGTTATGCAAGGAGGTCCACTATACGGTTATCATAAAAAAAATGAATTTTATGTATCTACATTTGTATGTACATTACATTTTGTACATATGGCGAAAAATTAAAGGAATTGAAGTGGGGCCGAATGTTGACTCCGCCTTAATTTCTACTATATTACCCTCTACACACCAGGAAAGGTAAATACATCGCAACTGTAACAAATTATCGGCGCTCTGTGAGTAACGCTTTCCAAAAAATAAACAATTCAAGAAAACCACAACGTGTGCTTGGTACACTAGGTTTAGTAATTCCCATGTCACCGGTACCGGTGGACTTACCTGTGATAAAAACAACTTTTCCACGTGGTTCTAAGATTTTTGATCTTCGAAAATGCATAAAAAGATAAATTCCCAAACAACAAACAACTGATACAATCAATAAATGAACAAACATGTCTACACAGTACACATGCCTGTTCTATCGGTAAGCTGTGTCGACCGGTTATATATATGTTCCGGGTGTGATCATGGAAAGTCGTGTTGATCAGGACAACACATACACTCCATTTCAAACAGAGCACTTGTCAGGACATGTTATGTACAATTTTGAAACTTAAGCGATTATCAAAATTAAACGGAATTCAATTTAATAAATCAAATTTAAAATGAAGATTCCTAAGGTCGATTTTGTGTTTACTGTAACCATTAGCTATAGTTACGCCGACAAAGTCTACAGCTAGTTAGCGTGCACCTGTGTTACACAGGCACGTGGTGACTTGTTGTGAAGAGTTCAGCGTGCGGAGGTAGAAAAAGAACGCGTTGATACCAACAATATGGCGACCATGGATCAAAATTCCAATTCAGTCCTACAAGGGATTGCCCGGCATGTTAACTGTTTAAGTGAAGAAAACCGAAATACAAGAAAGCGAGCACTGGAAGGAATACGAAAAGACACCATTGGTCGGAAGCCCCCTCTTGAACAAGCGGAAATTCGGGTCATTTTCAGTGAAATAATCAAACCTTTGTTAAAATGCTTTTCGGACCCCGTAGAAAAATGTCGACAACTTGCTGTTCTTACAGTGAAAGAATTTTTACAAGCCATCCCAGAGCCACAGGAAAGCCTCCCTTACATCGCCCCGATTCTTGTTCAGCGTCTTGGACAGCAAGATATCGTAGAAACCTCAGAAGAATTGCGATTAGATTTGATAGGACTTTTGTTGGACATTGTGGAATTTTCTGGAAAGAAAATGGCAGCTTACTTAGATGATTGTATAAAAATACTAACGAAAACAATTATAGATCCATTTCCGGACGTGAGGAAGGAGAGCTGCAAATGTGCAGCTAAACTGGCGAAAGCCATACCAGAATACTTCCAGATGATGTCAGAGTCACTTATCAAACCACTGCTGATGACCATCACACACCAACATTCACGGGTCAGAGTCATCGTCATAGAAACAATAGGTGGGTAATCCAATTTCCAGCTTAAATTATTGTCTTTCACCAGTGGATGCTGCCCGACTTGTTTCAATGAAGAGAAAAGATAAATTATTAATAACCTTTAGCTTCATACATTTTGTAAGTGGTAAAATTAACAGACAGTGATGGATAACTTATATCAATCATCTCCCATTATATGATGTAAAGAACATTCTTATACCAATAAATTGATAATCAGAAGGTCAGATAGAGTTTGAAGGTCTTAAGTTTGAGTCTGATTTGTTCAGTGTCATAGAATTATTATTACGGAGATTATTGTTACAGGTGACGTGATTTTGTATGGTAATGGTAAGTCTGTGGATACTGTTGTTTCCCACCTTGCCCAGCGATTGTTTGACCAATCACCTGCTGTCAGGAAGGCTGTAATTAAAGTTGTGGGGACTTGGCTACTTGACTTACCTGACCGCTACTCCTTTCACCACAAGCTGATTCCTCTCCTGTTGACCGGCATCACAGATGAACAGCCAGACATTCAGGAACTGGCAGACACCTTGTGGTATGATACAGGTAAGATGTATGATATGGTAAGATGAGTGATATGATACAGGTACAGGTTGTATTTTAGCTCAACACCTGGTCCACATGTAGGGTCAAAGAGATTGTGCAGTGGCGCAACTTCTATTTGGCATCAACTTTAACGAAGAGGTCTATTGTGAAGATATTTGGTCAATGATATGCTGAGATAAAGTGCTACCAAGTTTGTTGAAATAAATTATCTTGATCTTAGGCTACTTTCAAGTTTGAAGGGCAAGGTCAAATGTATTAAAGCCTTTAAATAACTTCTTCTGAATGGCAAAGATAACAAATTATGTAAGAGGCTTGGGTAAGGTAGGATGATTGGCTAGTAGTAGAACATGTAGTAGCTACCAGGAGGATGAGGTTCAAATGAATAAATTTAGACCTCATTCATGGTCACAAAATTTGAGGAAAAATGTTAAAACATATAAATTACATCTGAATAAAGAGACCTAGCAATGCTGAATTAGCCTGCTTTGTTAGCTGTCTTGCTATCATGGTTGATTAAATAGATTTGACTTGATCCACCTACATAATCGCAAATGTGAATTGTGTCTGTAAAGCAACATATGAGGTAAGTAACACAGGCCCAAATACTGAGGTGTTTTTGTTTCAGTTAGTAAAACTGATTTAAAAGGTCATCCTTATGAACAATCTTTAAAATTATAAACATATGTATGTTGTTAAAAAATATACCTACATACTTTCCTTTTCATTTTAGGTTTGAAATATGAAAAAGAGAATGAAGAGGAACTAAAAGATAAAATTGACTTTGAAAAGGAGGCACCTCAGCATTATCCTCCAAATGGTAAGTCATATATACATAGTTTCAGTAATTCTTTTGTCTGCTTGAAACACCCATATATAGATAAGATTCTTGTGAAATGACTATTTTTTCAAAAGATGCCCAACACTATCTTCTTTCTTTATATTTAGTCATATAAGTGTCAGATTCTGAAAAATAAACAAATCCTGCTTTCTGTGATCAATGTAAACATTTTTCACCCATTTGTGTATCATTTGTTTTTCAGGACAACGTGTCTGTGTTCAAAACATGTCTCAATATTAACTTATCGATATCAAGGCAGTTATGTGTAAACTGTAGGGTCCCAAACAGTTAAATACTGGTTATTGTTAAGGTATATTCCAGTACCACATAGTTAAGGATCTCCTGTAGTTGTTTTACAAGGATGTTATTAATAGATAAATCTGTTTAGATGTCGTGGTAACTAAAATTGTTATTTACATAATGTATACATTTGACTTTGAACTCTGATTATGGGATCCGATGAAGTTAGTATATCAATTATTAAAAATATATGATGTTAGATATTTTATATTGTGAAATTCTTTTATCAACTTATCAACATTTTGCTTTCCTAGAAAACTCTCTTACAATATTGAATTGTGTCTGGTTTGACTAGTTTCACTGTAAATATATATCACATTACTGACTTGTTTCAGTGGAACGACCAAATTTTGGATGCCGCACATTGATGATGCGCCACTTTTCAAAGATACTGCCAGGGTTGATGCGTGATGTATTGGACTGGGTAGTGGAGACACGTATCAAGTCTGCCTCACTGCTCTACACTCTACTAATCAATAGTGAGGACTACGTGACACAACACCTGGAGCCCCTCCTCACCGGAATGTACCGAGCCTCAGTAGACGAGGAAAAGAGTGTTGTCATGGATGTACGGCCAAAGTCTAGAACCTTTAAACTAATGTACAACATGTTCATATTGTTAATATACAACAGATGTTTAACTCTATACATTCATGTATGAAAGATTTCTACCTTTGAAACATTAACTCATTCACCCCTGAAATTTCATAATGAACTATTCCAACCTTTGAATTGGAAGAGTTTAAATGTGTCTTCAGGGGTGAATGAGTTAAGCTACGACTGTTGTGTTGTTTAAACATACAGTAGTGTCTGACTACTCTTGAACAGTTACACATAGCAGTAATGCATGACTGATGTCTCATTTCAACATTAAGGTACAACAATGTCTCATTCACCATCAATGTATACTTGTCTGAAAGTTAAAAACTCGCAAACATTTAAACATTAATTATAAGGTAAGAAACTAGTCTATTTCTAAACATGGACATAATACTGATGTCTAACATTTAAGCATTTAGGAATGAAAAGTATCTTACCATTTAAATGGTAAGGAATAATAAGTCCCTACATGGAAAGATATATACCTACAGACTGTAAGACATCTCTCTCTTTAAGGCTGCACATTCAAAGAAAGCCCTATTTTAATTACCTTTGAGTCTTATGCCTGTCGATTTTATGTTCTGCGTGATCAACTGCTAAAATATTTTTCTATTTTGATAAATAAACAACTAGCATACTGCACACTGATAGGCAATGTTCTAGTATTTAAACATCAACGTCAAACGACTGTGTAACATTTAGACACCAACATTTGAAAACTGTCGAAAATATATAATGTAAATACAATTACAAAGTAGGCAAATGTCTACCATGTATTTCCTGTTATGAAAGTAAGATTTATAGAAGAGCAAAAAATCTATTTCATTGGCAAAGACTTAAGTATAACACTTTTTTTTCTTTTTTTTTTTGCTTTCAGATGAAAAAGTCTGCAGTGCTGGTTGGATATTTTGTGTCTCCAGACATATGGTCCAAACTAGTGTTCAAAGCTGTGAAAACAACCCAGTCCTTTGGCTGTGTAATGGTTTTAGGGGGAGTGATCAAAGGCTCAGAGCGTGCTGCACTTCAGCCGTACCTCGACAGTGTGTGTGACGTCATTCTGTCTCCAGATGTGTGTCACACCATTCAAGTTAGTGTGCTTATTTATTGCTGCAAAATGAATCACATATAAAATGACTTCAGTAATTTGCATTGAGGGAACTTTCAGGTTAAGTCTTATCAGTATGACAATTTCAATGTCTTGAATACTCATCTAAATATATTTTGTTCACTTTACTTGCCCTGGACAATAACTGAACACTTTATACGTGTGTAACTGTACAATATCAATATTTTTATGTTCTAGTAATTACTCTAAAATCAAAAGTTTACAACACTGTCATAGCAATTTTGCTGTCTGTTTAATAAAAGCAGAGGTTTTCATTGACAACTCCAGGTAGTTATTTTGATTTCTCCTAGAATATACCCAAATGCAAGTTTGCACCCATTTTTAAAAAGTCACCCCAAAAACATGCGTTTAAGTGAAAAGTTCTTAGAACGGTTTACAAATTTATATCAACGTAAATTTACAACTGGCTTTTAACCTACAGGTACAGATGCACATGGAGCTGTTGTCATGTGTGGAGGGAATACTGACCGTTGTCCAGGAGGACACTGGACCAGTCAGTCAAAAACTCTTCAATCTACTTCTCACTATCCTGGCTCAGGCTCAGAATCAGGAAACAGCCGACAAGGTAAGTCATTTTTGCTGAAGTTGTGAAAATTTGTTGCCTAAGAGTTTCACAATATCTTCATTTATATTAACATTAAAAAAGTGACAAGATTGTACATGTTTGTATGAAAGATGTTGGTAAATAACCACCCAGTCCACATGGCTAGCTGGTCTTTTTGAGAACTTTTATATCTGACACTGTGTGTATACATATTACTAGGTTTACCAGCTTCTTGATGAGCTTTGCAAAGTCCAGACCCTCGAGTCGAGAGTACAACTCTTTAGCTGTCATACCCAGCCCCTCCTTCTCAGCTTTACAGAGACATTTGAGATGTGGAATCTTCACTCAGTGGAAAGACAGATCTTTGACACACTGATCATAGAAGCAGGTAAAGTAAGGCAGTACTGTCACAGATAGGGGTGACATGATTTATCATTCTGTGTTCAGTGGATGGTGAAGTCAGGTTTATCAATGATGAGATATTGAGTACATTGGTTAAATAGAGGGTAATGTGGCATGTAATGTTAAGGTTTAATGTGAGGGTATGTTTTCATGTAATAATGTCTTAGTGAGTCATGTGAAATGATGTAGTGTAATGTTGGGGTATGGTGTCAATATAGTGATGTATCAGTGTGATATCGCGATGTTAAGGTATGAAATCAAGGTTTAAAAATGTAAGGGATCATATGGCTACTTCAGTGTTTAATTGGTATTATAAATAATTCGAACTGTTTCTATTAACAGTTAACTTATAATACAGAGCCTGTTACTAGCTTAACTGTTATATTTTAGGTGTGCTGTAGGCTCTGTGGTTTATATACTAATGATTGGTGAGCTAACCGCTAATATAATTAAGTATCATGGTTGTTACAGGGCCTTTGATTGGTAAGCTTGTTTTATTCTCATAGTGATTGTATTGCTAAGATTTAACATTCTTTGAAACAGCTAGGGTCATGTAGATGGTTTTAAGGTGGTAACAATGTCAGTTATTGGTGTCTCAGGGCCTGCGATTGGTGGTATCATGATCTATTCTTATGGTTGTTACAGGGCCTGTTATGGTGGTACATGTAACAAAGTTAGTTATTGGTGGTCTCATGATTTAGTGGTATGGTTGTTACAGGGCATGTGATTGGTGGTCTCATGATTTATTCTTATGGTTGTTACAGGGCCTGTGATAGGTGACCTTCTAGATGATATCATACCAGTTATGGTAGCCAACCTAAATCCTGAGAAAGACCCTGAGGTGCGTCTGAAGTTCTTCTCACTGCTGTCCAAGCTGGTGATGAATGCAACTACCACCATTGACTCACAGAAAAAGTTTGGAGACTTTGGTGCCATTGTTGTTAAGGACATGATCATCCCCAACTGTGTGTGGAGTGCAGGGCGTACAGCAGGAGCCATCAGGACCACAGCCGTCTCCTGTATGTGGGCACTACTCCAGAGTGGCCTACTTGCTCCAGAAAAGGTAGGTTTTTTCAGGAGTGTCTCCGCAATTTTACTTTCCTTAGTTCTTTATCTGTATTGAGTCAGGCTATTTGTATTATTAAACAAAGATATGGGTTTGTAGCCTTTGTCATTTGAGATGTGATAGCTATGAGAACTACATAGATTTGGCTCTAGTGACAGACCAATGTAAAATGTTAGTTTTATATATATCTGTAAATTTTATTATATATGTATATGTACAGCTGGCCCCAGTTGTGGAGGACCTCCTAACCCAGATCATCACAGCGATGGATGACACCAATAAGAGTACACGTCTCATTGCCTGCCGAGTAATGACAAGAGTGTTTGAGCTGAGTGGTCCCTCCTTGGAACTCGACCGCCTCCACAACATGTATCCAGAGTTGTTAAAGCGCCTTGATGACAGTGATGATGAGATTCGAATAACAGTGGCAAAGACATGGCTAGGGTACCTGGGTAGCTTTGCTGGTCGCTATGATGCTGGTCTGTATAAGGCCCATGTGGAAGCTATATACAAGGGGCTACTAGTCCATCTAGATGACCCTGACACCAGGATACAGAAGGCAATCTTAGGTAAGCAATGTGATGTACTGAACTCTCTAAGTAGACTCTCTTATACATAGACCATTATGTAACTATATGAGGTTAGGATATGTGATGTATTGACTATCCTGTAGCTATAGGAAGGTAGGATATGTGATGTATTGACCATCTTGTAGTTATAGGAAGGTAGGATATGTGATGTAGAGACCATCCTGTAGCTATAGGAAGGTAGGATATGTGATGTAAAAACCATGTATAAACCATCCTGTAGCAATAGGAAGGTAGGATATGTGATGTATAAACCATGTATAAACCATCCTGTAGCAATAGAAAGGTAGGATATGTGATGTATAGACCATCCTGTAGCTATAGGAAGGTAGGATATGTGATGTATAGACCATCCTGTAGCTATAGGAAGGTAGGATATGTGATGTATAGACCATCCTGTAGCTATAGGAAGGTAGGATATGTGATGTATAGACCATCCTGTAGCTATAGGAAGGTAGGATATGTGATGTATAGACCATCCTGTAGCTATAGGAAGGTAGGATATGTGATGTATAGACCATCCTGTAGCTATAGGAAGGTAGGATATGTGATGTATAGACCATCCTGTAGCTATAGGAAGGTAGGATATGTGATGTATAGACCATCCTGTAGCTATAGGAAGGTAGGATATGTGATGTATAGACCATCCTGTAGCTATAGGAAGGTAGGATATGTGATGTATAGACCATCCTGTAGCTATAGGAAGGTAGGATATGTGATGTATAGACCATCCTGTAGCTATAGGAAGGTAGGATATGTGATGTATAGACCATCCTGTAGCTATAGGAAGGTAGGATATGTGATGTATAGACCATCCTGTAGCTATAGGAAGGTAGGATATGTGATGTATAGACCATCCTGTAGCTATAGGAAGGTAGGATATGTGATGTATAGACCATCCTGTAGCTATAGGAAGGTAGGATATGTGATGTATAGACCATCCTGTAGCTATAGGAAGGTAGGATATGTGATGTATAGACCATCCTGTAGCTATAGGAAGGTAGGATATGTGATGTATAGACCATCCTGTAGCTATAGGAAGGTAGGATATGTGATGTATAGACCATCCTGTAGCTATAGGAAGGTAGGATATGTGATGTATAGACCATCCTGTAGCTATAGGAAGGTAGGATATGTGATGTATAGACCATCCTGTAGCTATAGGAAGGTAGGATATGTGATGTATAGACCATCCTGTAGCTATAGGAAGGTAGGATATGTGATGTATAGACCATCCTGTAGCTATAGGAAGGTAGGATATGTGATGTATAGACCATCCTGTAGCTATAGGAAGGTAGGATATGTGATGTATAGACCATCCTGTAGCTATAGGAAGGTAGGATATGTGATGTATAGACCATCCTGTAGCTATAGGAAGGTAGGATATGTGATGTATAGACCATCCTGTAGCTATAGGAAGGTAGGATATGTGATGTATAGACCATCCTGTAGCTATAGGAAGGTAGGATATGTGATGTATAGACCATCCTGTAGCTATAGGAAGGTAGGATATGTGATGTATAGACCATCCTGTAGCTATAGGAAGGTAGGATATGTGATGTATAGACCATCCTGTAGCTATAGGAAGGTAGGATATGTGATGTATAGACCATCCTGTAGCTATAGGAAGGTAGGATATGTGATGTATAGACCATCCTGTAGCTATAGGAAGGTAGGATATGTGATGTATAGACCATCCTGTAGCTATAGGAAGGTAGGATATGTGATGTATAGACCATCCTGTAGCTATAGGAAGGTAGGATATGTGATGTATAGACCATCCTGTAGCTATAGGAAGGTAGGATATGTGATGTATAGACCATCCTGTAGCTATAGGAAGGTAGGATATGTGATGTATAGACCATCCTGTAGCTATAGGAAGGTAGGATATGTGATGTATAGACCATCCTGTAGCTATAGGAAGGTAGGATATGTGATGTATAGACCATCCTGTAGCTATAGGAAGGTAGGATATGTGATGTATAGACCATCCTGTAGCTATAGGAAGGTAGGATATGTGATGTATAGACCATCCTGTAGCTATAGGAAGGTAGGATATGTGATGTATAGACCATCCTGTAGCTATAGGAAGGTAGGATATGTGATGTATAGACCATCCTGTAGCTATAGGAAGGTAGGATATGTGATGTATAGACCATCCTGTAGCTATAGGAAGGTAGGATATGTGATGTATAGACCATCCTGTAGCTATAGGAAGGTAGGATATGTGATGTATAGACCATCCTGTAGCTATAGGAAGGTAGGATATGTGATGTATAGACCATCCTGTAGCTATAGGAAGGTAGGATATGTGATGTATAGACCATCCTGTAGCTATAGGAAGGTAGGATATGTGATGTATAGACCATCCTGTAGCTATAGGAAGGTAGGATATGTGATGTATAGACCATCCTGTAGCTATAGGAAGGTAGGATATGTGATGTATAGACCATCCTGTAGCTATAGGAAGGTAGGATATGTGATGTATAGACCATCCTGTAGCTATAGGAAGGTAGGATATGTGATGTATAGACCATCCTGTAGCTATAGGAAGGTAGGATATGTGATGTATAGACCATCCTGTAGCTATAGGAAGGTAGGATATGTGATGTATAGACCATCCTGTAGCTATAGGAAGGTAGGATATGTGATGTATAGACCATCCTGTAGCTATAGGAAGGTAGGATATGTGATGTATAGACCATCCTGTAGCTATAGGAAGGTAGGATATGTGATGTATAGACCATCCTGTAGCTATAGGAAGGTAGGATATGTGATGTATAGACCATCCTGTAGCTATAGGAAGGTAGGATATGTGATGTATAGACCATCCTGTAGCTATAGGAAGGTAGGATATGTGATGTATAGACCATCCTGTAGCTATAGGAAGGTAGGATATGTGATGTATAGACCATCCTGTAGCTATAGGAAGGTAGGATATGTGATGTATAGACCATCCTGTAGCTATAGGAAGGTAGGATATGTGATGTATAGACCATCCTGTAGCTATAGGAAGGTAGGATATGTGATGTATAGACCATCCTGTAGCTATAGGAAGGTAGGATATGTGATGTATAGACCATCCTGTAGCTATAGGAAGGTAGGATATGTGATGTATAGACCATCCTGTAGCTATAGGAAGGTAGGATATGTGATGTATAGACCATCCTGTAGCTATAGGAAGGTAGGATATGTGATGTATAGACCATCCTGTAGCTATAGGAAGGTAGGATATGTGATGTATAGACCATCCTGTAGCTATAGGAAGGTAGGATATGTGATGTATAGACCATCCTGTAGCTATAGGAAGGTAGGATATGTGATGTATAGACCATCCTGTAGCTATAGGAAGGTAGGATATGTGATGTATAGACCATCCTGTAGCTATAGGAAGGTAGGATATGTGATGTATAGACCATCCTGTAGCTATAGGAAGGTAGGATATGTGATGTATAGACCATCCTGTAGCTATAGGAAGGTAGGATATGTGATGTATAGACCATCCTGTAGCTATAGGAAGGTAGGATATGTGATGTATAGACCATCCTGTAGCTATAGGAAGGTAGGATATGTGATGTATAGACCATCCTGTAGCTATAGGAAGGTAGGATATGTGATGTATAGACCATCCTGTAGCTATAGGAAGGTAGGATATGTGATGTATAGACCATCCTGTAGCTATAGGAAGGTAGGATATGTGATGTATAGACCATCCTGTAGCTATAGGAAGGTAGGATATGTGATGTATAGACCATCCTGTAGCTATAGGAAGGTAGGATATGTGATGTATAGACCATCCTGTAGCTATAGGAAGGTAGGATATGTGATGTATAGACCATCCTGTAGCTATAGGAAGGTAGGATATGTGATGTATAGACCATCCTGTAGCTATAGGAAGGTAGGATATGTGATGTATAGACCATCCTGTAGCTATAGGAAGGTAGGATATGTGATGTATAGACCATCCTGTAGCTATAGGAAGGTAGGATATGTGATGTATAGACCATCCTGTAGCTATAGGAAGGTAGGATATGTGATGTATAGACCATCCTGTAGCTATAGGAAGGTAGGATATGTGATGTATAGACCATCCTGTAGCTATAGGAAGGTAGGATATGTGATGTATAGACCATCCTGTAGCTATAGGAAGGTAGGATATGTGATGTATAGACCATCCTGTAGCTATAGGAAGGTAGGATATGTGATGTATAGACCATCCTGTAGCTATAGGAAGGTAGGATATGTGATGTATAGACCATCCTGTAGCTATAGGAAGGTAGGATATGTGATGTATAGACCATCCTGTAGCTATAGGAAGGTAGGATATGTGATGTATAGACCATCCTGTAGCTATAGGAAGGTAGGATATGTGATGTATAGACCATCCTGTAGCTATAGGAAGGTAGGATATGTGATGTATAGACCATCCTGTAGCTATAGGAAGGTAGGATATGTGATGTATAGACCATCCTGTAGCTATAGGAAGGTAGGATATGTGATGTATAGACCATCCTGTAGCTATAGGAAGGTAGGATATGTGATGTATAGACCATCCTGTAGCTATAGGAAGGTAGGATATGTGATGTATAGACCATCCTGTAGCTATAGGAAGGTAGGATATGTGATGTATAGACCATCCTGTAGCTATAGGAAGGTAGGATATATGTGATGTATTGACCATCCTGTAGCTATAGGAAGGTAGGATATATGTGATGTATTGACCATCCTGTAGCTATAGGAAGGTAGGATATGTGATGTATTGATTATCCTGTAGCTTCCGGTCAGTTGGCTTCTGATCTAGGTATGGCATTAATACCTGATAATATTAGTTGGTCAACTTCAGAAGTTTGATAATTTTTTGTATGAGGGATATATAAACAAGTTCTGCTGGTAGCATTTCTGGGCTATAACTCATAAACTTTTAAAGATAACTTTGTTAAGCCCCCGCCATAAAATGGGGGGAATATAGTGTTGCCCATGTCCGTCCCGTCCATGAGCGGGGCATTTATGTCTTACAGACATTTTCTAGTTAAACTTTGTATGCACATCATTCCAGTAGTCATGCGGTGCCTTTTGGTGATTTTATCACAACTTCCGTCCTCCAGCCTTGAAATTTGGATTGTCTTAATATTTCCCTTGGCGGGGAGATCCAAATGGCTATGGCCTTATTGTCATTGAAATCATAACATACCTGTTACATAGTTTCATGCAGTAGGCAAATGTATTTGGTGTTTTTGTTATTAAAATACAGCTGCTAGGCTTTTAAAGTGGGTTACCAGGCAAATTGTAAATTTTGTTTCACATAGGTATACAACATGAAATTGTGGAAAAAGGTTAGTACTTCTTTTGATGTGAAAATAGGGTTAACCTGACCACTGCATCCTAGTCTGTTGATAAAGCCTTGGTGAGGAATAGTTCTGTAACCACAAGACTTACATGCACTGTAATTGAGTTAATTTCTGTAGACCATATGAATAATATAATGATTAATAGAATCTTCCCTTACCTTGAGGGTGTGACAGAGAAATTTTCAACACGAGGGGTGATGTTTTTTTGGTTGTCGAGAGCCAAGGGTTAGACAACCAAAACAAATCACCCCGAAGGTTGGAGATTTCTCTGTTACAGCCTCAAGGTAGGGGATGATTATTTTTCTCCCATCCTATTATTTTAGTCACAACTCCACCGACTGCAGTCGTCTGCAATGTTTGTAAACAAAAACACATGTGGGGTTTGCATATCGTCATTCAGTTTTGATGACGTCACAATAACTGGTGACACACTCTATGACGTCACAATTGAACACGTGCTAATCGGCACGAGGCTGTCTCCCCCTGGGGGGTGACAAGCTGATCTTTCCCGGCTAAAACGGGAGACACGCCTGTGAAGGGTGGGAGAAATTGTTATGACAGTACCTGTGGTATGTTTTGTTAAATGACTCTAAATCTAGTCCCAATCATTCTTGTTATTATTATGAGCTCTGTTTAAATCATTACAGAGGTGTTGAGTTCGGCTGCGGCACTGATCCCAAACATGCTGATAGGAGCCATAGAGGACATCAAACATAAACACCGGTCGCAGCGCTACTGTGAGGAACTGTTGTCCTACACAAAGACACTCATCTCGTCATCCTAATCGATCTAGCACGTTTCATAATCATTTTCATTTGTATTGATGCAAGCTTCTTATTGCAATACTATTTATTTTGTAATAAATTTGTGAAAACAAGAGGGTGTTTTAGATGTGTTTGTAGACATGATGACCCAACTACAATTTAGATGCTGTAGCATTAAGCTACCTAGCTATTGGTATTAAAATCTTCAATAATAGTTGAACAAGTTTGTTTTAGATGTGTTACTGAGAATGCTACAATATAGTGACAAGCTATGACTTACCAGCTATAGATAGTTCCTCTCTAGCCCAGTTGGTAGAGTGTCAGACTACTGAACCAACAGTTCCAGGTTCATTCATTAGTGGTGACATTAAAAAATAAATAACCTTTGTAACAATTACATGTACATACATATGTAATGATTTAAATAGGTAATTTGGTGTTCTCTGCTTCATATTGATTTCGCTGATAAAATCATCAATTCCTTATAATTGTTTATTTCTTCAATATTAAGTTTGAAATACAGAATTTTTCCTAGATTGTCAAACAAATATTTATCTAACAAAGCCACATTGTAGCAAGGACACCAATTCAAAAGTTTATATTAAATGTATTGTTGTCATCTGGCAGGTTTGAATTGCATCTTCTAATGGATCAAATGTCATACCTGTTATGTAGATATAGAAAACAGAAAACTTGTACTGTTACTGTACTGTAATTGGTCTTTATTTCTTTTAATAAGGAATGTAGAAGTAATAAGATCTCCACATTAACATGAGACATACAATCATGCAGGCTTAAGTACCAGTACATACCCTGCATATTGTCAATGGAACCATGGAACTTTATTTTCTAGAAAATGTAGGTCTATCAAAAACAAAAAATACGACTATAAAATCCTTTTGAAGCTAAATATATTTAAAAAACATTTATTATATAAATTGATATTAGAATATTATCTCGATGAATTATGTACAATGTAAATGATAAAATTTGTATAAAAGATTTATCCCAAAACCATTAAAACTGATCTTTTGCTCCATATGTGAGAACCTTTCCACACTTATTCCACTTGTCTTGTAGTCTTCATGTTAGCACTTTTCAAAGCCTAACCATTTGATTCGTTTAACAACATGAAATTTTGGAAAAGTTCAATGAAAGGAAATGGTATCGTTTCTGAAATTTAATTTTTGATTTATTGAAAAGGCTTGAAGTAATACGTTGCTTCCAAATCTGGAATACAACAAAAGGTGCCACAAGAGTGACCAGGTGTGATACTTTGAAAGGAGCAAATTAAATATATCCTATTGAAAATACCTTGACACAATATTTTATGAATGCAGGGGGGGGGGATTTCGAGTTTTGATTTTCACATTTATTTGAAATCAAACAACCTTTCAAAACTACATCTACAACGTTATAGATTATTATTTTTATGCAAATGACTTGTCACTGTAAAATTCAAAAAACATATCACAGACAATCTGAGGAGTTACAGGGTATAATGTGTATCATATATACATGTATATACGGATATGTACATTGCAAAGGAATGTTCTGTACAAAAAAGTACAATCATTGAAATGTTACATGTAGTAGTAGGCAGAACTATAACAATTATACGTACCAGCATATATCAACAGTCCATATACATATATACACCAGTTGTCATGTACATGGAATAAGGAAAAATGATAAACTTTTTCACCAAATAGGTTATAAAAGCGTATAAGAAATGTAAATGTCAAGTTCAATGTATCAATGTTGTAAAGTTTACATTCTCCTTTTTGTTTGACCCGAAGCAGGCTTTGTTGAAAAATAACCTGTTTAATGGAGAATAACTCACACCCAGATCTGATATATAAACATATACATGTATGTGTGTGTGTGTGTGTGTGTGTGTGTGTGTAAACTAGCATAGTTATCTTAATTATGGGTAAGGCGTAGGGACAAGTTATTCAGGACGGATTCAAACAAGGAAAGGACAGCTACAACATTTTCCCTGGGCTCAGGTTTCAAGGATTTACTCCAGAATAAAGTTAATATGTAACAGCTGCTGGCTAAACCATTCCGAACCACATTGGTGGAAAAACCTCAGGGCAAGACACAATTTGAGGGTTGTAACATTATCTGAAATTAATTACTTTTTATTAATTAGTAATCAGTAAATTAGTAAACACAGTAAAACCCTTAGGAATATATCTTGCCCTGTGACCAAAAACAGTCTTCGAAATTAACGAAATGAGGTTTTAACACTGTAGTAAGATTCCTTTTCTTAATGCCATTTATATAAACCATGATTATAGCAGCTGCAGCAATATTTATCTACACATTTCAAATATTCCTTAATACTTGTAACAATGTATGGTACTACCGGGTATCTAGATCTGTTGTGATGTATAATGCTACACGTATAGCAGACTAAAATAACCCCATTACCAGCTATAAGCATCACAAAAAGGATGAGAGCTCCTCAACACTTACGTAGCTATACTATTAGAATTCAAAAAAATGTAATAAATATCCTAATACTGAAAATTCAATCCTTCAGTGAGGAGATCCAGGGAATACTGCACAACAGGCGATTTACAAAGTTAGACATACATGTCTGTGTGGATGGACTACTTAGAACAACAGCATACACTACTACTAAAAGCTCGAATGTTTATCTCTGGATATACATATATGTTGCAAGTGTACATAATTCTGTTATTTCCACTAAAAAACCTGTTCACACAGGATTAATCTATTAAGTCTTTTGTATATACGAGCTCACAGAACTAGGTAGATTGATATTCAGGTGTCACCAATGACTAGTTTTGACAGGTTATGTATTCACAGCTGATCTGGGAGTTGACATGAGGACGTTAACATCCCTGCAGCCTCCGGAAATGTCTGTCGTTATCAACTGGACAAGGACGGATTCTCATCAACACACTGTAATACACAGTCTATAGCCAAGGATTACCGGGCGGCTGTTCTGGGTTTTCCAACGACAAATGGCGTCACTGTTGCTGCAAAGAAAATTATCCATATACATATATTTTCTATGTTGGAACTTTTTTTTTTTAAATCATTTGGATCATTGATGAGCTACTGTATGCTTTTTATCTTAACATGACTCTTTAAGGTTTCATATTAAAGTAGAGAGTCCCACCCCAGGACTCAAGGTTTTGTTTAGAGATTACCAACCTTTAGAATCAAATTAATAACTTGCATAAACGTAATATTCAACAGGAAACCAAACAATAGGATAGAAGCAATTGATGTTGGAGTCTAATTAGTTTAATACTTGTGTCAGATCACGGTATTAAATTAGAGTTATCTAAGTCTGTGGTCAGATTTGTTTTTTTACTGGAATAGCCTTTATAGGTTTGGAGTCTTTTTTAGGGATATTGCTTTACAACTACATGACATTGTATAAATAGGTTTGTTTGATTTTTTAGCTATACAGGCAGATTTTACAATTTGAGATTAGCCTAAAAGCAGAAATAATCTTAGAAACAGAAAAAATATTGGTTTGACAAAGTTGAAATTCTGAAAATATCAACCCACAAACTTATCAACACTGTGAAATAACCCTGGTCACTGCAGAGTGTATTCTTTATGAAATTTTGGGTGAACATTCAATTATCGAAATATATTTTTTATATTACAGTTATGGAAATGTATAATAAATCTAATATTAATCCAGTGGTGTACTTGATAATAAATCAATATGTGATGAAAAGAAATTCATCTGTTTCAACTTACGCTTATTATTCGCTGTCTTATCAGTTTGTGCTACTTTTGACTGGTAAAGTGCTCTGAAAAATATCAATTGAAATCACAATCAAAACAAGATGACAATGTTACTTTTTACAGTTTTCTGTTAAATTGACTATTTTTTTATTTTTATTTTTTGCTTTAGCTATACACAGGAACAAACTATTATAATTTGTTCTAGACAGACTGTATACACACTAAATTAATTATCAATTAAGCTGTGGTAATATCAGAAATTTATATAAGTTAATATCTGTACAAATATTGTTACAACATAATAATTATGTGTTTTAATTGAATTTTCATCCACTTCCACCTTAAAATGATTGTTAATCTTACACCTATAATTGCTCACCTGTATTGCCTAGATTGTGCAAGGAAGCGTCGCGCCGTAGCTATTTCTGCTCCAAGTCTGCGTAGATCATCTCCCTCAAACTCGGGAAGGTGGGGGTACTGCATTGTTAAAACAATTGATTGTATTATGACCACTAGATAAGTACAGGTGTACCACTTACTGCTTACTGTTTCCAATATAGACCTTTATTGCACTATATTTACCACAATATAACTAATTAACATTAAATATTTCTACATCATTTCAAATATCATTCACCCTAAGATGATTAATGTGCATATCCTTTTACCAGAATACTAAGCAGATATCATTTGATAAGGAAAAGCTGACTTTTTGGATGCAATCTTACCTCAGTGTCGCTGAAGCCCTCTGTTAAAAGTTTATGGGCAAACAGCTGGGCATCAAAGTCACTCTGAATCTTATGGAACCGACCACCTGTCTCCTTGCTCAACATTCGCAAGAAATTATTAGCCGTGCTACAACAAAATCCAGTAAATAACATTAGAGGAAAAGTATCAGTAAAAGGGTGTATACAAAAGAATTCATTGACGATTAAGCTGCGACTGTCTCAGTGATTGAACAAAGTAAAGTGTTTACCTGTCTGTACAGTTGAAGGAGATGGTGTTGATTTGTACGTTTCTGTTCATGTTCATCTCTCCCACCTCCCGTAACACCAGCGTGGTACTGGAGTCAGGTTTACCATCAGTCAACATGTAGATAGCCTCAATCTCGGGGTCCTGGAATGCTAGCTGTGAATGACAGATATTCATACCACAATTATTAATTACTCCTGGTCAAATGAAATAGTTACATGAAACATCAACTTCAAGGTGTGGTAAAATGATGCGACACAAAAATCACAAGTTAAAGAGATGTATATCATATTGTTACATGTAGTTACAAAGGGCAATTCTAGTCAAGTAAAATTCAAAAAGTGTTGTAATTTTTAAACATATACACATAATATTTACATAGATAAAACAGCATCAAAGTTAGGTAAGAATCAAGTCCACTAAATGCAAAACAATTAATTCACTACACAAGACTATACATCTTTGTAAGACAAATCAGAAGATAAGTAACTAAACTATCTGTTTTACATGTACTTTAATGCTAACCTGCAGTGATTAACCTAACAAGTCTGAATTGTTCTGTACAGAAATGTATAAAGATACATTGTTTAATAAAAATATGGATAACACTTTACATCAATGATGGGAAAAAATAAAGTTTAAACTAAGCATTAAAACAGATACAAGTCTTTAATACAGACGGATATTAACCATGAATAAAGAAGGAAAACCTACCCTGAGAGCCTCTAATGTACAGGTGTTACCGCCAGCGGTCAGTTTGGATGTCCAGTTGACAGCCCTGTGACAGTTCTCTTGTGTTGCATGCTGTATACTACTGCTCCAGACCTCACATTCCCCTGAAAACCTCATCAGGTTGAACCTGTAACAGTGAATACATTGTCAGAACCAGACCTAATCACCGCCTGTACCAGTATATACATGTATACTCTGTCAGATACCGACCTCACTGTCTGTATCAGTAATACACTGTCAGATCTAGACCTCACTGTCTCTATCTATCAGAACCAGACCTAATCACCGCCTGTACCAGTATATACATGTATACTCTGTCAGATCCCGACCTCACTGTCTGTATCAGTAATACTCTGTCAGATACCTACCTCACTGTTTGTATCAGTAATACTCTGTCAGATACCGACCTCACTGTCTGCATCAGTAATACTCTGTCAGATACCGACCTAACTGTCTGTATCAGTAATACACTGTCAGATACCTACCTCACTGTCTGTATCCGTAATACACTGTCAGATCTAGACCTCACTGTCTCTATCTGTCAGAACCAGACCTAATCACCGCCTGTACCAGTATATACATGTATACTCTGTCAGATCCCGACCTCACTGTCTGTATCAGTAATACTCTGTCAGATACAGACCTCACTGTCTGTATCATTAATACACTGTCAGCTCTAGACCTCACTGTCTGTATCATTAATACACTTTCAGATCTAGACCTCACTGTCTGTATCATTAATACACTGTCAGATACCTACCTCACTGTCTGTATCTGTAATACACTGTCAGATCTAGACCTCACTGTCTCTATCAGTAATACACTGTCAGATACCGACCTCACTGTCTCTATCAGTAATTCACTGTCAGATCTAGACCTCAATGTCTGTATCATTAATACATTGTCAGATCTAGACGTCACTGTCTGTATCATTAATATACTGACAGATCTAGACCTCACTATCTGTATCATTAATACACTGTCAGATCTAGCCTTCACTGTCGTTAACATTAAATATACACTGTCAGATCCCGACCTCACTGTCTGTATCAGTTATATCTAGACCTCACTGTCTGTATCCCTAATACACTGTCAGATCTAGGCCTCACTGTCTGTATCATTAATTCACTGTCAGATCTACACCTCACTGTCTCTATCAGTAATTCACTGTCAGATCTAGACCTCTCTGTCTCTATCAGTAATACTCTGTCAGATACCAACCTCACTGTCTGTATCAGGAATACACTGTCAGATACAGACCTCACTGTCTATATCAGTAATACACAGACAGATCTAGACCTCACTATCTGTATCATTAATACACTGTCAGATCTAGACCTCACTGTCTGTAACAGTAAATATACACTGTCAGATAC